TCCTTTTCCACATCTTTTTCGACGCAATACCGTTCAAATAGCACTTTCCGAGCGTATCCATCGCTTGGAGATTTCCATTATTTGCAGCTTGCGTGAAATACTCGATTACGAGGCTGTCACTGCCTATGAAATCGCCTGGATGTTTCATATGCAGGTATCCTAAGTAATAGAGAGCTTCAGACATTCCGCTTGGAACTAATTGTATCAAAAGGTTCTCGGCGATGAATGCCTCGTAAGTTCCGAAGTCGAGAAGAAGCATGGCAACACGAAGAATTAATTGTTTGCTTGTTCTTGTAGTTTCGCATCTTGAATACCAGTAAAGTGCTTCTTGAGTGTTTTGTTTTTGCAAAGCGAGGGCAGCTAAGGCAAGAGGAGCTTGTGGATGATACCTCATCGCTGAGTATTTGAGTAATATAAGGCCTTCTTCATGCATTCCAATATCTTCGCAATAATTTGAAAGTTGGAATGCTGAATGGATATCCATATTACCTCCTCTAATGAGGATTGGCCAAAATCCTTCAACTTGTAAAGTAATCGTGATTTGGCGGCCATTTATTTTGTATTCGTGTTGTTTTACCTTGTCATACCAGATTCCTGCCAAAAATTGTGTATCAATTGAGTTTTCGTTGATCTCGATCTCCTTCTCCACAAGGTCATAGGGTGAAGAATATTTGATTGTGATCAAATCTCCATCTTGCTCCCACATATATCCAGTATAGTTATTCAAAGGGCTCATAATAACTTTTCCGAAGACTTCTTTTTCATTCTGAAGGCGTTGATAGATAATCTCATATTTTTCATCTGAAATCTTCTCTTCTGTCGCAGATTCTTGACGTTCAGCTTCTTCCTTGATCATTGGACAATTAATAAATTCGAAAATTGGATCATCCATTGGTTGTTGTGGCACTAAAAAGCTGCTCATAATAATTTTATTGAAAATTTCGAAAATCTCCGAAATTGATTTCCTTGATTTCTTGTGAGAAGCTATATTTCTTCATAAACTTTTGTAGGCATTCAATTAAAATCGCAAACGAACTGGCCATAGAGATTGTAAACATCGAATTTATAACAAGAATCGAAATTAATTATATCCTATTGTATAAATTTGGATATCAGAAATTTTAAAAAGCTTTATTCATAACAAATCACATATAAAATAAAATATATAATTCATTCTTCCTCTCTGAAGACTTCCATTGACTGAGCTGTTTGCATTGAAGGTGCTTTTTGTGGTACATCCACAGAAAGTGTCCTTGGCAATGCTGGTTTTACGTTTGGAACTAAAACTCTCTCTAATTCAACCTCGATATCGTGATATTCCTTTGCTTTTGCTTTAGAGATTGGCGTATTGTTGTATATATCAACTAGGTTTGGATTGGCGCCAACTTTCATTAAAGTCTTAACAACATCTAAATGCTGGTGTTGAACTGCTTGATGTAAAGCTGTTTGTTTCCTTGAGTTTGTCTCAACAACTGTTGCACCGCTCTGTAAAAGGTACTTCACGCATTCATTGTCGCCTGAAATTGCAGCAAAAATCAATGGTGTATCGTTTCCTGCATTAAGAGCAGAAACAAGAGCTCCATTTTCAATCAAAAAGCGGCATATTTGCAATGAACCGTTTTTGGCTGCGAAATGAAGCGCTGTATTCTGATCAGATGTCAATGCATGAATATCTGCTCCATTCTTTACGAGGAGTTCAACTAAAGGAAATGATTTAACATTAGCTGCGTAGTGTAGCGGTGTCCATTGATTAATTGTGCGAGCATTAACATCAGCATGTGCTTCAATAAGCACTTGTGCGGATGGAAGACGATTATTTTCGCATGCTACATGGAGAGGTGTAAGTTCTTCTTGGTATGTCTTTGCATCTACGACAGCATGAGCGTTGATGAGAGATTTGATAGATTCTGTACCACCAAGCTTGCAGCCAAAGTGGAGAGGAGTAAATCCTTGGAAATTTTTGCAATTTGGATTAGCCTTTCTACGTAGAAGCATTTCAACAATCTGATTATGACGTCCGAGAGCAGCAAAATGAAGGGAATAATGATGAAAATAAGATGAATACCATTCGGTTAAAATATAATGAATTCCTTCTCGATAATTTATATTAACATCGTGTGTAAGTAAAAAATCAACTGTATTAAGTCTACCATAAGCGCATGCAACTTGAAGCATGCTGACATTTATGCAGTTTACTTCGAAAATGTTTGTAATAAAAATAAAATGAACAAAGGTAGCTGATTGTTAGAAATAAATGCATACTGTCGCATCATATGGAATTCCTCCATTAATCATCTCTTTTAAAACCTTCTGATTTCCTGTTTTGCAGGCGTCAAAAGCTTTTAAAAGCGAAATATCAATCATTGAGAAACGTACATTTTCAACATTATATCGGCGCAGAGATATTGAGTTTTGATTAATTTCTAATTTTTATGGCCTATTTATGTCCATTTTTCGATTGCTTATAATGCGTGTGGATTTTTTTGAATTTTTTTACTTTGATAATCAACTTCCATTTGGTGAAATGCTATTGGCTTTCATACCGTATTTAGATGAATATGATTGTTCAATCTATTGATCTTTCTTAGGGCCAATACTGCATGTTCATGAGATATTTGATATCTCAAGAATGCATAAGGAAATTGTCCAAATGCTAAGAATGCGTAAGAAAATTTATTACTCTGTCAAAATAGATATATTACACAGCAATTTTCTGCAAAATCCTCCAGGAGCTTTATCAAGAAGGATTCTAAAATTATCTTCTGATGTTATCGAATTTACTTCGGATGGGGAAATGGTCAAATATGTGTCAAAACATGATATATTAATTTTAGATTACATAAATTTTGTATCATGATGATAATAATCAATATAAAAGTATTGAAAAGTAATAAGGAGTAGACGCAGCATACGATAAGATAAATAATAGTATAAAATTCATCTTCGAAGATGAAAGAGAAGTATCTTATGTCGGAACATTATTCTTTGAACCATGCAAAACAAGAAGTTCAGCTATTTCTTTAAAATTCTTATCTATTGCAATATGAAGAGCAGTTTGTCCATTATTAGATTTTTCATTGATATTTGCACTATGTGAAATAAGAAGTTCGGCGATTGCTTTACTATTATTTTCTGCTGCATAATGGAGAGCGGTACATCCAAATTCATCTCTTTCGTTGATATTTGCACCATATGAAATAAGACGTTTGACAACCTCTTTTATCAATTTTACAAATGATATTCATCCATGTGCTTATATTGCAAAAAATATAAAATTTACTGAAAAAGTACTATGAAATACTTCCAATTTCAGTATATATCCATTAGCAAAATTGAAAACTGAGCAAGAAAATTTATGTGGACTACTTTTACCAAAAATATAGCAATCATTATATAATAGGAATAAATTTTTATCAATTTTACAAATAACATTATTATATTTTGTTTCAATATTGAATAAAGCAATTATTTATTCATGGGCACCATGTTCAACTAAAAATTTGACAATTTCTGTTGAATTCGCTTTGATTGCAATGCTAAGAGGACATTCATTAATATCGAGAGAATTGCATTAAATATTGATAAATATGAAGAGAAAGATGATTTCATAAATCATTGATAAATATGTAAATAAAGAAAATATTATAAAAACAATGATAAATATGTAAATAAAGATAATTTCATAAAACAATTATAAATATGAAGAAAGAGGAACATATAACGTAAAACCAGCATTGCCAAGGACACTTTCTGTGGATGTACCACAAAAAGCACCTTCAATGCAAACAGCTCAGTCAATGGAAGTCTTCAGAGAGGAAGAATGAATTATATATTTTATTTTATATGTGATTTGTTATGAATAAAGCTTTTTAAAATTTCTGATATCCAAATTTATACAATAGGATATAATTAATTTCGATTCTTGTTATAAATTCGATGTTTACAATCTCTATGGCCAGTTCGTTTGCGATTTTAATTGAATGCCTACAAAAGTTTATGAAGAAATATAGCTTCTCACAAGAAATCAAGGAAATCAATTTCGGAGATTTTCGAAATTTTCAATAAAATTATTATGAGCAGCTTTTAGTGCCACAACAACCAATGGATGATCCAATTTTCGAATTTATTAATTGTCCAATGATCAAGGAAGAAGCTGAACGTCAAGAATCTGCGACAGAAGAGAAGATTTCAGATGAAAAATATGAGATTATCTATCAACGCCTTCAGAATGAAAAAGAAGTCTTCGGAAAAGTTATTATGAGCCCTTTGAATAACTATACTGGATATATGTGGGAGCAAGATGGAGATTTGATCACAATCAAATATTCTTCACCCTATGACCTTGTGGAGAAGGAGATCGAGATCAACGAAAACTCAATTGATACACAATTTTTGGCAGGAATCTGGTATGACAAGGTAAAACAACACGAATACAAAAATAAATGGCCGCCAAATCACGATTACTTTACAAGTTGAAGGATTTTGGCCAATCCTCATTAGAGGAGGTAATATGGATATCCATTCAGCATTCCAACTTTCAAATTATTGCGAAGATATTGGAATGCATGAAGAAGGCCTTATATTACTCAAATACTCAGCGATGAGGTATCATCCACAAGCTCCTCTTGCCTTAGCTGCCCTCGCTTTGCAAAAACAAAACACTCAAGAAGCACTTTACTGGTATTCAAGATGCGAAACTACAAGAACAAGCAAACAATTAATTCTTCGTGTTGCCATGCTTCTTCTCGACTTCGGAACTTACGAGGCATTCATCGCCGAGAACCTTTTGATACAATTAGTTCCAAGCGGAATGTCTGAAGCTCTCTATTACTTAGGATACCTGCATATGAAACATCCAGGCGATTTCATAGGCAGTGACAGCCTCGTAATCGAGTATTTCACGCAAGCTGCAAATAATGGAAATCTCCAAGCGATGGATACGCTCGGAAAGTGCTATTTGAACGGTATTTGCGTCGAAAAAGATGTGGAAAAGGGAACAGAATTACTCAAGAAGGCTGGAGAACTTGCAATGAAGTTAATTCAGGAAAATCACGAAGAAAATGAAAATGATGAAGAAATAGAAGAGGAAGAAGTACCAGAAAAGATATCAAAGGCCAAGGAATTGCTTATTGACACATCAATATCTCTTGGAATTGCAGCTGCAGTTGGATTTGGAACTGTGTTTTTATTTAGAAAGTTTTTTGGAAAATAGATGTATAAAGTATAACTTATAAATTCATATTTTTAATTATAGACATCATTACCATTATAGAAAAGCTTTGGAAACCTTGATGAGGAAATAATTTTTCTTTTATTATGGAAAATATATATTGAAATGTATCTAAATAGTTTCAAAATAATAGAATTCAAGTTTATTTAATCATTTTTATTCATATCAATATGAAATTTCTATGAAATCAAAATTACAAAGAAAAATTTTGAAAAATAGGGAAGATCTATCAGAAAATAACATAACACCTATCAGCTGAGATTAATTTTCACTTCCAATCTATTTAAAACATACAATAATTTCTCAAATTTCATTCATTTTGCATTTCTGAGTATGACTTATCGTCGTCTACGCACCCTTAATTTATCAAAATTTATGCTTGACTATAAAGTATCATCTAATGATATGTCCTTCTCCTCATCTGTATTTTCCGTTCCACAGAAAGATTATATTCCATCTGACGATGCTTCTGCAAAAGTTTTACAAGATCTTAATAACATAAAAATCCGTTATCCTGAAGAACTTAATAAGCATCATGATTTTTTCAATTGCTTAATAAGTATGATTCAAAATAACGAATTCCAGGTTGATTCGTCAACTTATATTAATTTCGATTTGCTTTCGGACTTGATTGCAATTTTGGAATCAGAAGATTGTATTGATCGTTCTGAAGTTCTCGAAATCATTTATTGTCTATCAAAGTTTGACAAAGTCATCGAATTTCTTAATCATCGAGATATAATCAACCTCATATATACAATTGCATTAAGTCAAAAAGATGATTTGCAAAAAGACAACTATATCGCAATTAGGATCCTCACAAGATTACTTCCTCATGTTGAAAACAATGAAATATATTTAGCAGATCACCCAATCGATGAATTCTGTTTTCTTAGTGAAACAGATAAAGTCGTTCCACTATTCGCCAAATTAACAGAACTTAATCCAAATCAAGATAATTTTAGATCAACAGCTCAATTTATTTACGAAAAAACAGAATTTGATTGCTATAAAGACATAGTCATGATTTTGAAAAGCGTTTTACCTGTTTATCCAGAAGAGATTAACTTCCTTATCGAACTGGAGATACCTGGTTTACCATGTTTTTTGAGAAGGCTTGCATCACGTCTCTTTCGCTTTGATGATGATGAAAAAGACGACATTGTGAACATGATGGGTTTAATGGAAGCTTTTATAGTTCCTTTAACAAGCAATATCAAGATCAACGAAGATGTATTTTTAATTATTCACGAAAGCCAAATGGCTTGGAATGCCTTTAGATATTTCACCTCCACAATGTGTGATGATGACTCTCGGTGCAGTGCCATTCATTTCTTAGAGGTTTGTATTTCTCACGATATTTTATATAAAGACGTATTGAATGCAATCACAAAGTGGGATTTTCCACTTGTTGTTAGAGTGTCTAACAATTGCGAATTTGAGCAGCAGATACAGTTAATTGTAATTATTTCTAAAATAATTCAAAACCGCGGGTATAATGCAGCAGAGACAGCTATTAAGAGTGGCATACTAAAATTGATTGGTTCTTTCATTCCATATTACATCCAATATGCTTTGAATGCTCTTGACGTGCTTATTGAAAACTACGTTGAACAAGATCAAGGAAAAACAATCTGGGAACTTATTTGTAAAACTAGTATCATCCAAGATTTGAAAGATGCTATAGAAGATAATGACAATGACGAAGAATTCGATAATATCGTTTATTTTGTCAATCATTTTAACTAAGGATGTCAATTTGGAAGAAAAGTGAGAAAATTCCTAAAATTCTAAAAATGAATTTTCCAAACAGACTTTTTTATCTCATTTTTTTGATTTTGAAAAAAATTTGAATTAAACTTCTAATTTGGAAAAAAGAAATAGAGTTTTTAAAATTTTATTGTATGTAATGAAATAAACAAATTAAGGGTTTCGTTTTGCTAAAATTGTCACTTTTATAGCATATTTGTTTTTGGATGTTTTGCGAAACCAAAAAAAAAACTATGATATACAATGTGTGTGTAAAGAAAATACTTTATTTACTAGTTAAAAAATCATTTGGTATTGGTCAAGTTATTTTTTCTGGATAAGATATTATATGGATAATTGGATAGAAAATACAATTATATAATCTTGTACCTGGTTTAATTAAGCTAATTGTCATCAGAAACTTGTAATTTTTATGAATTTCAGATTTTCTTTTCATTACTGCTTTTCTTAATAGGTCAAGTTCTTATTTACGTTATAAAGTATGATATTTACAAATATCAAGTTATCATGTTTTTTGAGAAATTATGAGAAACAAACAAAAATGAAAAAGATAGGAATAGCAATGAATAGTGATGTGGGTATAGAAAATGTAAGAGATATGAATGCAAAGCAATCAGTATTTAGGATATTGACCATAGATTTCGAAAAAAAAATGCTGCATATTGAGCGAAAACTATGATTATATTATAAGGCTGTCATTTAAAGCATAATGAAACTATTCCCTTTTCATTTTAATCGAATAAGATAGTAAAGATTTTTGAATTAGCTAGAAACTGATGAGATGTTTTCACAAATCAGATTTTTAATCTCTATAATGCATAATTCACTCAATATCTCAATTTTGATATTGCGAGATATTTTTGCTATCGGTTTCGCAATTTTGACACAATAGCAAGAGGGTTCTATAAGCATTATTATCAACGTAGAATCTGAATATCATATCAGAAAATGTCGCAAATCTGACATTTACCCGACCAAATAGCAAAAATAATTGAATACTTTTCGCAAAAACTTTAAAAATCGATAAAAATATGAAATATAGATATTAAAGAGACTTTTTATATAATATTCATAAAGATTTTCCAAAAATATGATACCGCAAAATTAAAAAAGTGACGTCTTGAGTGGAGTCAAAGGTCGAAATTGCTAGCTAAATGTTTTTTTAGCGAAATTGCGTATTGTACGTTTTTTCGCAAAACGAAACCCTTAAACAAATATTAAAATTATTTTTTGATAACAAGAAAATTCCCAATAGAAAATATTTGAGAGAAAGAAAAAAAGAAAATTGGAAAATATTACTTTCCTTTATATTTCATGAGATTTTAAATTTATTCTCATAAAATTGACAATTTTATACGTTTAGATGAAAATAAGTGATTTTGGTTGAAATAGAAATTATTATTTGCTTACAGCTATCAAATAGATTTTTGCTATTTTGATTAAAATTTGTTAATCAAATTAATAAATTTTTTCTAAATATCTTAAATATCTGGATCACTCACATATACAATGAATTGAACGATCAAAATAATACAAACTCAACTAAGTTTCCTGTCTTTCAACTAAAAAAAATTATGCAAATTAAATTAAATTGTTTATTCAAATATAAAACAAAGATGAAGTAATTACAGTTATCATAAACTTTATGAATAACTCTGTAATTGGTTCAGATTTTGGTAAAAATATTTGTATTAATATCGATAAGAATACGTTTACCTACTATCACAACATATCGATAAACAAGAGTAGAGTGATTTTTATCATCGAAACTTTTTAAAAGCTGTAAGCTGGAAGGAAAAATCTTGTTTTTTCTGAGTTAGTTGTAGAACTATTGATGCACGAGTTATCATTGTGATGTAGAAGGATGTCAATGTACTGACTGAAGGATATGAAGTGAATTGAATTTCATTGAATTTCAATTTGATCAAAATTTGTTGAAATGATATGAATGTGTCAACATCTGTATCACTCTCTTTCACTCCTTCCCTATTCTTTCGAGAACGAAGCTAGCTCAGCTTTCGCTGAGCGAATTGACACTTTTGATGTCCTAAACGTACATGCTCTCAAATTTATCGAAAAAAATTATACCACCTAAACTAGTATATTCTTATTTTAAATATGATATTATCCTTAGAATCCACACTAGAATATATTTAAATCAACTTTTAAAAAAGCTCGAATCCTGCGCGTCTCACTTTTTAAATTTTCCAAAAGGAAAATTATATTCTCCTAAAATGAAAACAATTTTCCGAATTGACATCCTTATTTCAACAACTTGGCAAATAAATGAGTAAAGTAATTCACAATTGTTTTTTTCTCAACATATTCCTTAAATGTTTATTAATTTTCTTTATTCCTTCCATTTAGATTAGAGCACATACACACAACTTCTACTCAGAATAATATTAAGCAAATTAAAGTGATGAATAAGCTTACAGTGCAAAAAATAAGATTTTCATAGTTTTAGAAATCAAGATACAGAACCTAATAACCGATATATGATCAAATCAAAAGAACTAACTTATATAACATATAAATTAACTTTTAAAACAAAAAAATATAAAATTAATAATATATTTCACCGAATAAGAAATCATCAACGGCCTTTTCTTCTTCCTGCTTTTGTTTTTCATCAACAGTTCTTCTAGCTTTAATAGGCAATGTTCTTTCGTTGAGAGGTCTTCCTGTTCTCTTCTTAATTGGCTTCTTCGCTCTTTCAAGGGCAGCAGCAGCTTTCCTTGCGATATCTTCTTGTTTCTTCTTATTTGCTTCTATTCTTTGCTCTTCTCTCCTCTTCTTTTCGCGTAATAACATCTGTTCTGTCAAAAACTTTTGATCTATGGTTCCACACTTGTTGTACATGGCTTCTAGCTGATTCTCAATGCGTTCTAACATGGTTAATGGGTTAATATCGGCGTGAACTCCGAAACATGTAACATAACATTTTTTGACGGACTCTGTAAGTTCTTTAACGTTTTTATCAAGGACTGGATTATTATTTGATACTGCAGGTGCTTGGAATTGTTCAACTTCGCGAAGATTTTCCGTTGATTTTTCTATTGACTTCTTTTCGTTAACTGTTTTAGTTATTTCGGAGTTTAGTTGTTGTAATCCATTCTCTGCTTCTTCAGAAAGCTCATGGCAATGCTGAATAAGGAAAAGATTATCCATTTCAACTTTTGTAAGCTCGTTTATGACTTGTTGAGGATCGGTGAAGTATGTGATAGGATCTGCTGTTGGCGGACATAGATTCTTCAAGAAATTGTAATAGTTATGATAGGATTCCAAAATTTCTTGATTTTTAGAAATTTCGCTTTGAATAACAGTAACATTTGCGTCTTTCTTCTTAAGTTCTTTGAAAATCTCTGTACGCTTCTTAATTGCGTCTTCCATTGACTTTTTGCCTCTTGTTAATTCAGCATCGATTTGGTTACGTGACATCTTGTATTGGTTGGATGTTTCGGCAATCTTACTTTCTTCTTCATCAATATTCTTCTTTTCTGTCTTACGCGCTTGGCTAATTCTTTCAATTTCTTTCATTTTTCTATCAATAAGAAGCTGTGCTAAGAATATTTCACGCTTTTGCTCAACAAAATCATGCATTTGTTCCTTTCTTTGGTGTTCAGCAACAGGCGGAGTGATTTTGAAGTCATTTTGTGATTCAGAAACTGTTCTTTTAGATTTTGAAACAGAAATACCTGCAGAGTATAAAGGAGACTTTGACATTGATGATCTTTGTACCAGTGTTTTCTTTGATAACTCTTTCATGTATTCTTTCATTTTTTGATTTTCTTCTTCTCTTCGAGCAAAAAGATCTTCATCAGGTGGAAGATCAAATGGAATGGGTGCATCTAAATAAGCTGGTCGTGGAAGTCTTGATGACTTCACGGTAGATTTCATACAAAAATTTTCTTTCTTTTCAATTTTTTTTCTCTTGAAAACGTGTTTTTTAAAAAGTGACAAAATCCATTACATTGATTGAAAAATAAAAGGAACGATTTAATATAACAAATAGATTCACAACTCAAAGCACAGCAATAGTATATATGACATCGAAGGCAATTACATGATAAGATCCTTTTATTCGATAATAAAACTTTTACTTATTGAATAAAAACTATTTTGGAATTATTACACATAGCCAAAACCGCAAGATTCCTCATCTTAATAAGCTTTAAATACAAATTTACAATTTAAATTTTCGAAAATAAAGAGCAGCTACTAGATTATTCATGAGATACGACGCTTATTTTTCATTTCATTGACATAACTCGTCTTTTGAGGCTAGAATTTAAACATTCAAAAATTTTTATTAATTATATTGAAGATTTTTTGGAGAATCAACATTATAAAGATCAAAATACATCCAGACTTATATATTCAAAAGACTATTATCTACAAATAAGAATGATAAAAAAGAATTTTTTAAAATTATCATTAATTAAACAAAATTTGCGCGTGCTATGTGGTAAATTGTCGAATACTTCTGCTACGAACGCAATATTTGGATTGTCTGTATCATAGATTCTAAATAATCGAACAATATAAATCATCTAAGCCTGGAATGATTTTGTGCGCCTTTATATCATTAGTATGCTTGTTTATTTGTTCTTGAAAGCTTTGCTTTAATGTTTCATCGGATGGCAGCCGAATGTATCGATTAAGACTTTCCAAATCTGGATGCGAATAAGCAGAAAAGAGATATGTACTGCTTTTAAGTGATTTACCGTATGAGTCGTATCCTTTATTTTCATAGATGTGGCTGAGCATATCGCTGATAATTTCTCTTGCCATCATAACCTTTTGGCTCTTATTCTTGACATCTAATATTTCTGGGCAACTGCGAATCATTTTTGCACATCTATCAATGTAATCAGTGAAACATTTTTCTCTTGTATTGATGCTTGCTCTTATGGATCTATTTAATCCCTGCATACCTTTTACCATCATATTTGTCACTTCGCTGTTGTTTGGTAAGACCTGGACTTTGATTCCACTCATTAGAATGAAGAGGAAATTTCTTTCGATTTTGTAAGTTCTCAATTTACTGCTCAAAATCGAGAGAACTCATTGAATTTTAAAATCCGAAGTTTCTATCAAAAAAAAATCGCATCAAAGACATACTGGAAAACATCTCCACGATAAAGTATATCTGCTGGAATGTATGTGTTCAAGTTAAGTCCATAAAAATACGAAATGTAAAAAAAAACATCTCATTTTTATTAGTTGACCGGCTTGCTATTTATGTTTACATTCAATCATATTAATCAATTCACATGGAAAAAGTTCATAAATATCCAGAATAAAATCATTGATAATAATTTCCGATTCATTTTGAACCTGACAATCATAATTACATATCCTTATGCTATGGGAGTAATTAATCTCTATTCTTAACTCCTAGAAATCAATTAATAATTTGGCCATATCCGCAATTATGGCTTATAAATAGTTTAAAGGAGAAGAATGTTTAAGTATAGATCGAATTTAATGAATTTTTATTTAAAATTACAAAGAATAATAATAAACTAAATAATGTTTTGGATCAAAGTTCAGAGAGGTCAAATTCAGCAAGCTTGACGAAGAAAGCCTCGCCAACATAGAATTTTCCAGTAACCAATAGCTTCTTCTTGCATGTTGTATGGACAATCATATTAATAGTCGAAGGAGTCTTGAGTTGGTAAACAGACTTACCTGCGATCATTACTGATGACTTTTCAGCATTGAAAGTCAGCATAGCCTTGACATCGACTGACTTCTTGTTCTCACTTTTCATATCACATGTCAGTGAGTATACATCGTTCTCTTGCTTTTTAATTGAGATGTTTACATCGAACGATGGCTTTTGTAAAAGTGTCAAGACTCTTGGATCTAAAATGACATGAGAAAGGGGCAAATTGCCACCAAAACCATGCTGGTTATGCCATTTAAGTGTTAGTTGCTGGCAAATCTTTTGCTTGATGTATAAGGCAGTCCATAATAATCTTCTTTCTTCATCTGAAATTTCTCTTTGTTTAGCATTGATTTCGGCTACTTCTGCCTTCCTGACGTACTCAGTAGTCAATCCAATGTCATTCCATTTGCCTGTGAAGTCATCTGGTGTTTCTATTCTTTGGATGCGGACAATCAACGTTCCGAAGCTCTGTCTTGGTATGAAAACTTGTCCTGCAATGTTTGAGTCGACCGTTATTGGATCGTTCGTTGGATTTTGGATAATAATTAATAAAGTTGTGTGGTCATCATCGAAATCGTTGTGATCTTCGAGAGGAACAGTCTCTACTCTTGTTATCCTCGGTCCATCAATGAGAGATAACTGTCTATCGTATTCAAATCTTCTGATATATCCTCTGCGGCCGTATTCTATGCCGAATGAGAGGTTTGTGAAGGTCTGATCCATCTGTAGTTGGACATTGAACTTGTATGACTGGCCAGGATTAAGTGTTGGTGGCAAAGATGGATTTAATTTCGGAGGATACGGAACAGGAAGACTTGTACCGGAATAAATCGGTGGAGCTTGAGCAAATTTTATGCGGTGGATGTCAACTTCGACGTTTCCACTGTTAATTAGCTCAAATGAAATTTCATTATAAGAATTTTCAGTGACATTATCATATTGTCTGAACGGAAGGCATGCTATGAGTGTTGGCAGTTCCTCAATGACCTCGAATTCTATTGGTTTCGGAAGTTTATACTGGAATGAGATGTCATAAATATTAAATGTTGCTCCAAGGATCTCTATTTTGCCAGGTTGTGTCATCTTTATGGTCAATGGGAGCTGGGCGGACTTCTTTGCACGCAAGTTGCATGCAAATGGCTGTGCAAATCCGCTTGTCGAGTCAATTGCCATAACAGAGATCTCCAAATTAACATTTAATGGGTTCTTAAGTGTAAGCATAAAAGATAATTGGTCACCAACAGAAACCACATTTCCTAACGATCGTTTTTGTAAAGCATTGAAAATAAAAACCGAGTTCCCTTTTGTTGCTCTTTCAATTGGCTGGTCGGGAATGATGTATCTGAACTCTGTGACCTCTATAGCATTCCTTGCTACAACTTGAGTACCCGCTGGGACGGATTTGATGAACTGTTCTTGTTTTTCTGGATTTACTGCATGCAAATTGTCCAAAAGATACTCAATCATACGGATCTTGATTTCTCTGTGCGCGTCTTCTGATAAAAAGAGCTGTGATGCAATGTGAATGCGCTGATCGAGCCAATCATTTGCACTTGTAATCGCACGAGCAAAAATATCAATAAGATATGGTGGAAGTTTAATCCTTGTCTTGTATAGATCGCTTATTTCGTAAAGGAACGTCCTTGAATGACCGAAATGGTTCAATAATAATAATCCGAGCTGATAGTACTCCATGTATTTCTTTTTGTGCTTGCGGCAGAATTTTATTGCTTGTAGAATAAAGCGGCGTGAATGTTCTTGATATCTGGCCGCTAATTTGTAAAGAATACGAATAATGCATGTTTTTTCTGTAACGTCGTTTGCATTTGAGAGAATTGATCTGACAATCAAAGGCAGATTTGATTCCTTGAGATCTTCGAAGTAAACAGGGAGATCTGACTTATTACAGTATTTATCAACGGATCCGACGTATTTTGGACTGAGAGATAATTCTAAGATTTCAGTGTTAATTTGGACAGATCTGAGTTTGAGTGCTTGCTCGAAGTATTCAGAGGCTTTTGTAAAACCGCCAAAAATCCAGAGAATTGAAGCGATCTTTAGATATGATTCTGCGGATTCATTATTAGCGAGGCGTTCAATTTCGGCGCTTTGGTTCATAATGAAGTTCGTGAACCTTAAAAGCAATCCTTGTTTAACATGACGCTCAAGAGTAGTTACATCGTTCGTATCTGCAGGAAGTAATGTCGAGTACTGAGAGAGTTTTGCATCATTAGCTGTTACATCCGAAAAAACAAACAAAAATGGAATTGAATTTTGTGAAGTTGACTCGACGAGATCAATAAATGAATTAGCATAATTGAGCAATTCGGATTCGGACTCGGCGACAGCTGCTCCAACAATAATATGGAATTGTTGATGAGGCAAAAGGTCTGATTTAACTTTTAGGATTGTTCCGAGGGCATCATATGTATCACAAACGAATAATTGGAATCGTGCAATCTCTTTTAAGTCTAACCATTCAGGCAAAAAAGTTTCAAGATTTAATTCTGTAATTTCTTCGATTGTTCTTTTCATATAATCTGTCACAAGCGAAAAAACTCTTGGAACTTTCATACCTACAGCTGTGAGGAGGACATTTATTGCTCCATTTTCGTTGAAAAGGGCAAATGGTAAGTTCCCCACCTGCATTGTCACCTTTTTAGCTTTTATTTGTAAAATGATTCAGTTGGCAGAAAGGTGACTATAAAATATGGGATCTTTTTAGGATGGTAATGACGGATACTTACATTAGCTAATACAAACAAAGCTAAGGAACAGAAGTTGTCATTCAAATATCAAAAAAATGGTGTAATAATGAAGGAGAGCCTCCATGACACACATGTGTTCGATGTATTATTATGAACTATATCCTACCCCAAACTTGGACTTTATAATATCAAACTCATTGGAATAAATTTTAGTTATTTTTGAAATAGTAGAATATTTAATGTTAATGAAGCAATACGCAAATCCACAAATGAAAGTTGGCCTATATTCTATCCTCAAATTTTGTGGAAGATAATAATTTAAAATTATCTATGAAATTTATAGGAAGAACATTATGTTATTCTGGTAATGGATAACTCTATTAAAACATAATTTATTTTATATATAAATGGATGTATATACGATTAACTATCTCTAATTTTACTGAACTTATTGAAAAAGTTTGATAAAGCTGGTATGATGAGAGCGAAGAATACACTAGTCATATAAAATGAACATTAAAGCAAAAATATTGTTTGGATGCCTCTCATTAATGCAAAATGTTAAATTTATAATGAAACACAATGAATAAGAGATTTAATGAATGTAAAATAACAGTTATATCAAATTTGATTGAGATTGTGATGAAATTCCTTATTTTGGAATCGATGGAAAATTCAAAATTGTTGTTCAAGAAAACTAATAGTATCAATATATTACATGCAATTCAGAGATCCATTATTTATATTAAAAACTTTCCAAAAAAAGTTGTTGTAAACTTGCGGTTTATGGATTTGAGCATCAACTGATCATTGTACTTTTTACTCCATTTAAATAACATATCAATAATTTTTGAAGAATTTTTTTTATGTGGCCAACCCAAAAATCTCCTATCGTGCCGATCAGTTTTATTGAATTTCGATGTGTAAGTGCTGCATTGCAACATACACTAGCGTTGGATGTGCTGCGTGTTATATAGTTATTTCAGTATGGGGTATTGTTATGCTTGGCATCATGGCGCTTCTTTTCGGACCAATTGGCCATCCTGGTAATATTGGTGATCTTGTTCACACAGACAAGGAAAATTGCAGGACATTATGGATCAATGTTATCTTATATTTCGTCCTTTGCGTATTATGCACATTTACCCTCTTCTACCGCTTAAAACATCCATTCCAAGAAGAGAAAGTAGTTGATGAGGAAGATTCAGAAGAAATTCTTGGCATTAAAGATGAACAACCAGCCCAAGAAAAGGTTGAAGACAGAAAATAAGAAAAATTAATATTTAATCACTTTTTTCGATGTTTTGATAAAAAAATTGATAAATACAAAAAATACTTACTAATTACAATCTAATTGCCATATGAGATAAGACTATTATGCGGCTAATTCGATTTTTTTGATAAAAATAACTTTTGTTTTAATCCTTCAACGAGGTATATGAACTAAACTCTTTCATTGAATGCTACATAATTCTCTTTGCTCAAAAAAATTCTGCGGGTATAATCGTCAATTATTTTTTAGATTATAATATTCTTCATAGCATGATTGTACTTGTAAATAGGAGTGAAAGTGTTTGAAATTGCACTCTTTGATATATGAAAGCCATTTTCAATTAATGTGTGATAAGATATAGAAGTAGCCAATAATGGTGCATTTTGTTGCTTGATAGCGAAATCATCTATTTTGCATGGTATGTAACATGTTTTTGATATGTAAAATCTTTAGATCGATTACAAATCCTTGAATTATCATGATAGTCACCTTCCACTCATACAAATCAATTTGAAAGGTCTATATCAATTGAGTTTTGAACGCAGTAATCCTCTGAATTAAATAATGATAAAAATGAGCGATCATCAAAATTGAAAAGAAATTGGATCACAAAAAATTTTTGATGTATAAAGATACTAAGAAACCATGTTTGTTTCATATTAGAACTAAAACGATTGAGATCAAAACGATATTTATTTTGAAAGAAAAAAATTTGAATTCAATTTTCTTTTAGCAGTATTATTAAAGAATAGACTAATATAAGACATTTTTATTTTGGATCATGAATTTCATAACCTTGAAAAAATTGGATTGTATCATTCAAAGTTACCTGAAAAGTGACTTAAAATCATTTCATTCAAACTCATTCATGAAGTCCTCATGGATTCTTGATCTTATAATTAGAGATGGAGAATTCTATGGTAATCCAGACAAGATAGAAGGATCAATGTGGTTTGTTTTAGCAGCAGATGGCTATCCACAACCCTTTTCTACACAACCATGCTCCGCATCACAGAAATTGAAATGGGATTTTCCATACAGATTAACATTACAAATCAATGATATTAATAGAGCTTATTTATACGTTACATTGTGCACGTATGGACCAAAAGGATTTGGCGTTGAAGCTCTTGGACGCTCAAGATTTGGACTTAGATCTTTACCATTAGGAAGTCCAAAACAATTTTCGTTCCCAATCATGGATTCTAAAAACTCTGCAAATGAAATTATGAGTGTGAGAGTTGTAGCAACTTTGTCAATGATAGCTCCTCAATTTTACCTTATTTCAAATCCGATGTATCATTCTGAAAATACTTTAATACAGCCTTCACCAGTTAAGAATGAAATATCTGAGTTTCGGACGCTACCAAAGTGAGATAATTCTTATCACACTTCATCACGATATATTATAATTTATTGTTTGTAAACCATATTTGTTTAATTACATAAAATCATCAATTTTTTTCATTTGTATTTGCCGATTGCTGTGTTCACATTCAATATGCATGTGCATCATTCATAATTTCGAAATATACGAGATAGTGAATATGTTTTGGCTTCCAATATTATTTTTTTGATAGAGATCTGAAATGCATTTGTTTGATAGAGATCTGAATTTAATATAGAACAAACATGATACTCAAATATAATAGGACCTCGAATAGAATAATATATCTAAGAGGAAAACTCAAAATTTATACATGATATGCGAGGAGATCTACAATTTAATGGGAATGGATATAGATTTTTGGGCATTTATATATGATTTATGCCATTCATGTCATGTTGAATATACTTACATCTTAAAAATTAAATTCAAAAGTAGAAGGCCAATTTTTTTTCAAATTTTGATTATGAAAAATTCTGAGGAAAACGATAAATTCATCACAGGTTTAAAGTAATGCAACCACAAACAAAGCCAGGAATCCTTCTCGCCGCATCATATGCATTAAGAGTTCATGCTTTCGATATTGCAACAGGTCAACCACTCGAAGAATTCGAGATTTCAAATTCTCAAGCAAATAGAATTGTCACTGTCGGAAATGAGCCTACATTCTTTGTTGGCGCTTACTCATACATATTCGGATACGATTTTCAGGCACGTACCAGAAAACACTCTCAGGGATTTATGAGTCATGAAGGCAATGTTACTGATATTGTTGCCACCCCAACACAGCTTTTGAGCTGTGGTGAAGACAAGATGATCAAAGTTTGGGATCGTCGTACAGCAAAGGCATCAATTACCATTGCTACACCAAGCCCATTAAATTCCATCATCTTGATGCCATCAAACAACACATGCACAGTCTGTGACGAGAATGGCGCTGTAAGCCTTTACGATCTTCGTCAATCTTCTCGTCTTCAGACAACAGAAGCAACGAAAGTTCCTGTTCGTTCGCTCGCTATTGCTCCAGATGGCTCCTGCTTTGTTGCAGCCAATCAAGATGGAACAACCGTATGCTATTCCATCGAAGGCGATAGTTTCAAAGAACATTACAGAATTCAATCTCACAACGACACACAATTACGTTGCGCAATTGCTCCTAATAGCAAGACATTCGCTACATCGGCTGCTGATAATAGCGCTAGAATTTGGAATATTGAAACAGGAGATATGAAGCAATCTTGCATGTCCGGTGAAGCTCAAGAATGGACATGGGATATCGCTTTCACAGCTGATTCTTCATACCTTTGCACAGGTGGCAGCGATTGCTCCTGCAGATTATGGGACGTTGAAAATGGAAGGATGGTTATGCAATTCCCTCAGCTTCCAAAGTGTGTTTCTGCTATTGCCATTCTTAATGCCTAAGCAAAATATCGATAATACTGTTGAACTAAAATTTAATTATTTTTATTAAAGAAAATTCTTTATAACAATCTGTCCACCGTTAAAAACATACATCCTAAGCACTCTTTTACATATCATAATTAACATCTTTAGGAAAATGTTTCAATTTGATTTTGAAATATAAAGAGATGGACTGAAACAATCAAGAATCATATGAGATTCAATAATACTGGTAGTTGTAACATATAAAAAACTAGATTATCAATTCTATAATTTATTACAAACAAAAAAAAGTAAAAACTAATATTAAGAATTTGAAAATAATAATTAATGGGCATTAGGAGGCCTTGCGTAAGAAGCTGTAATCGAAGACAGTGTAGCTTTAACGCGGCAATTCAATACTATTTGAGCTGAGTTTGAAGGATGCATAATTGGAAATTCGAAGATCTTTGGGCTTCCCACAGGAAGGGCTCTTAAGCCAATTCGTGATCTACCCAAAACTTCGACAGATGTACCATTAAAACCATGAGTACACAAAGTTATGTATAAATATGATCGCGATACGTCATTAAATTGCAAAATCATACGTGCTGGGAAATTCCATACCGGATGATTTGAAGATGGTACTTCGGTTGTACTAAATGGCCGAGGAATTCCGTCTGCGTTAACTATTAACCACAAACCACCATTTACTCTAGGACCCAAATCGTTAGCACTTCCATCCATTATGATGATATCAAGGATCCATGATTGAAACATAATGGATGAACTGTGGCAAATTGTGATATGTTTGGGAGTTTTAATGTCATGGCACTTTTTGTGATCCAATTATTTTTCAAAAATAATATATTTGGTAATAACTAACTATCACGCTTAAAATACATTTTTTTCTTTATTTTTAAGGTTCTTTCCCGATCAAAAGTTTTTGTTGGACTTTTCAAATGATCCTTTACAATGACTTTTATATAATGCTACCATAGATTTCGGGCTCCACGCTTATAATTGAATGCAAAAAAATATGCAATCGAAAATTAATATTATTAAAAACTTTCATCTGTGAATTCTTGATAACAGCATTCCCATGCTCTGAAAATGATTTGTGAATCATTGCCAATGAAAATTAGATGTCGATATATCTTATTCACCGTAGCAAAGTTTGATAAAGAATGAAGACATTGCTTATGAAAGGTATATTTTCCACATAAATCAAAATTATGAAACTATATTAATCAATGTCTACTTATTTTCAAGAAATTCCAGCCATCAGCATGATATAAATGTCAAAATTGGAAGCATCATATCCACAACGCCATGCAAAAGCTCATTATCTATTAGATCATATTCAATGCAAAGAAATTAGAGTTGAATTAAATGTGAAATCAGAAAAAGTAGGAAATTATGAAACATTTACTAGCAATCTAATATTTGATTGTGATTGATAATGAATATCTGATATCTTTTAAAATCATATCTGAATTTTTACACAGAAATGGAATTTAAGAATTTTCAAAATGGTTTATTGTGTACAATCACATAATGACATATTTTAAAAAGAATTAATCTTATATTCCTTTTCTGAGGTGTCCCGATTTTTTCAAAACCTTAAAATTTTTCAAATATTAATATATTAGTAGTATTGTAAATCTTTTATGGTAATTTTAAAATCTAAATCCTTTCAAAAATTGTCAGATTTGGATAATATTGTTGGGGCATTTTCTTAGGAGAGGGTAAATTTGAATACCATTCAAAAGTAAAAATTCACAATTTGTTCGATTTGGACATATAATCTATTATTATATATAATGTAATTATGAAAAAAAATAAAATGACCTGTATATATTAATTATTTAGATTGCAAGATTCAAAAAAGCTATTAAAATTAGAGACTAAATAAATAGCGGATTGATTCATATGGATTTATGTAATTATGAACATTAAAATAGTTTATTTATTGATCTAATAAAAAAAGAAAAATATTAATGGGAAAATTGAAAGAATAGAGTGTCCCATTCACTCGTGTTGGTCGCAATGTGTCATTCTGGGAGACATTGCCACTGCATGTCTCCCATAATGGCACAATGTTCCGCATTCATAACTTGAATGCGGAACTTTGACCGACAAGAGTGTGTTATGCACTCTTATCGGTCTGCACATATCATTCCTGGAGACATTGCCTCTGGATGGCACAATTTTTTGCAATCACAAAGTGATTGCAAAACAATGACCGACAAGAGTGCATTATGCACTCCTGTCGGTCACAAAGTGTCATTCTGGGAGACATTGCCACTGCATGTCTCCCACAATGGCACAATATTCCTTTGAGAAAGACCTGGCATGGGGTCCTTTCTCAAGGTCAGGGCCCCCTTCTAGTCTTTCTGGTCCTGGAAGGAGCGCTTCTGACTGGTCTGTGCGCTCCTTCCAGGAAGATCAGTAGATTGCTCGAAGTTGCGGCAAGTGCATTCCGACACCACAGATGCACTTGCCGCAACATATAATTGCGAGTGTCTGCTGCTTTGTCAAAAGAAGCAGCAGACACTCGCAATGCGAACCGAATTGTCCAGAAAGACCTGGAAGGGGGTCCTTTCTCAAGGTCAGGGCCCCCTTCTAGTCTTTCTGGTCCTGGAAGGAGCGCTTCTGACTGGTCTGTGCGCTGCTTCCAGAAGAACATAGATTGCGCCAATAAGCTCCTATCAACAAATTTTGACTAAAAATATAAAGTATCTTTTGTGATTTAACAATAGCTCAATTTTAAAATAGATTTGATTCTAATAATAAATTGAATGAGTTTCGCTTACGTTTAGAATTTTAATGATTTTTTTCGTTCACAGAAGAGTCATTGATATCCAATATCAAAAAACAGCAAAGACACACCATAATAAATGATATTGAAGCTAAATATTACATATTTCAACATATCTAAAAAATTATTAAGATTAGATCTCATGCAATGCCGAGCAGTTTCCTAAAGCATAATTACTTATTTATACAGAATCAATATATATTTCACATTGCAAATTATATATATTCTCACGAAGCAACATGAAATAGACTGTCCGAATTTAATTCAAATAAGATCTACTTCAAAAGGATTTCTTACAATATGTAATCTCGATGTTGATCACTGAATACAAGGGATGCACGTAATTTACAAATTGTTGCAAATAGTAGTACAACAAAAATTTTATTTTTAGCTTGTCACTTGATATATAAAATTGCAAAAACTCAATCAAAAATAGGATTTGGACAACTTTTTAAAATTGTGAGAAAAATTCTATCGGCACATTCTATTCAATTTTAAAGTATTTCTTTCATATTCCAATCGATTATTCAATAATTGCCAATCACAAATTTTAGTTCAAAATTCAAAAAATCCCTAATTTTAATTTCAGATGAAATCTCGCAAAAATAACATTGTTTTAACCATATAAATATATATTTTATATATTGTATAGTGATTTTTTAATATTTTTATGAGTAAAATCGAGAGTGAGGAAATGTGGACTACAAAAAACGATAGAAATGAAAAGTTTACATGGAAATTCTATACTTACAAGTATTCAATGTCACTTTTGTGCTCGAGATTTTGATGAGTAGGGGTAATTTTAGCTAAAAGTAACACACCCGTGAAGGGTGTGATTACCGATCGGTAATTTCGACAGTTTAGAATTTAAAATTTTTTATGGAACTGTTGCGAGTTTCATAAAGAATTTAAGGAATATAAGCAAAGATTTGAATCAAAATCTTCGAACTAAGCCGATCGCTTCGCTCGCGGCTTTCTTTATTATTTTAAATTTGCATATTTCCATCAAAAGTTCATAAGGTAAAAAATTTTGTTTATATTATTGCAAAATAAAACCTTCATTATCAAAATAATATTAAATGATAATATAATATAATTTATAAACAACTATTATTTAATAAAGTTTAATTGCCAAGGTTCATCTAATTTTTTGATTTTTAATGTTTTATGAATTTTATTTATCATGTATATATCTAATGAAGATTATATATGTAGAAGATAAGTACCTTAATATGTACGTAAAAATTAATGAAATTTATTTTGAATGTAGAACCGAGCAATTTTCCCTGTCACTTTTAGCTAAAATTTGGGTTTGCCGTTTGTTCATCGTATTTTCCGATAATCTAATTTCTGAAGTTTATATTATCAAAAAGTTGAGCTAAATCCATTCATGCTGTAAATATATATGTAACCCATAATTTGAAATAAATTCATGAAGATTTTATTATCCGAAAAATTGTAACGCTTACATAATTTTTTTATGTTCGTCTTTTTCCCTTTACTTTCATTATCTGAATTTAGGATTTGCGTCTATATTACAGCAGATTCGGAGTGCAAAAGTTCGTCGTATCAAGGAAAAATCACTCTTACAGATTTTATTTCAAAATATGATTCCAAAACGTTGAATTCATATTTAGATGATTTTCACGTTAATTTTACCACAGTCGGAAATGTATATGTCGATTACCCTGGACGCCCCGATGGAAATAATGCAGACGATTATAAAATTTTAGACGGCCTACGGAATTATAATAACAACTCGGTATATACATTTAACTCAATGGCAACCACTCCAACTAACAAAATACGACATAAACCAGGAGATAGAGATTCACGAGTTTCATATTTCAATTATAATCTTTATCTAGGTGGAACCACTGCCGGATATTTGCTAGATATCAATAATTGCAACATTTTCGTCGAAACGCCTGTTTACTTTTGTTATACTAATTATAAAGGTCCAGCCGCACTATTTCCGAACATCTATTCAGATGGATTAATGCAAACATCTGGCGTTACATTTAAAGAATTTGAAGGTAGAACAATTACTAGGCTGGAAGGAACTCCTAATTACACAAAATGCTTTGAAGTTTCGGACGTTATAGAAATAGATGATGTACATGCTTACAAATCGGTAAAGCTTTACGATAAATACGCTGAAGGTAAACTTTTACTCGAATTTACACTCCAAGATTCAAAAATTGTTCAAATCGAGAGAGACATTAATGATGGAAACTATATTACATTCAGATTTGGTGAAAAACCACAAACTCCAACCACGTTAACGTTCTTGTCCCATGTTTCCAATGTTCAAACTACAAATGGCAAAAAAATTGGTGTAATCTATATGGAAGGCAACAACAAGACCTTAAATCCTTATGTAAAGCTCGATATCCAGTCAGATTTTATCAAAAACAATGTTAATCAGTTCATCGTGAAAGGATACAAAGATACTTTCACAGGAATTCGAGAAACAATGACATTCGATCTTAAATCGAACGAAGGACTCAAACTTCCTTTCGTTTACGAGCCATATACAAAGATGTCAAATTTCATATTGAATTCCGACTTTTCCTTTAAGCAATTAACATTAGATCAATTTGCAGATGACAAAGTAACAGTCACTAAGACCACTTCTGGTACTGCAACTATGACTTTTGATACCATAGATTATTTACGGGACAAAGTTACATTTTATACAAGTTCTGGTGTTGTTGTTTCAATTATTTTATCCAACAACTTCAACATAGTCAATAATATCCTTCCAATTCAATGGAATATGTACTATGATCAAACAAATTCAAAATATTCCATCGGAAAACTGAAATTACAGAGATTTTCAACAGATATTACAGGTAGTAACACATTGACAATCTACTTAGATCACCAACCAGGAGTTAAGTACTCAGTTGAAGAAATTAAAAGTAAATTTGGTGAAAATTCTCAATACGATGTTTTAGAACTTGTTGACACTTCTAAACAGATAACAGTGTCATTCCCTAAAAATACAGGAATCCCTGGTTTCCATAGTGGCCAATCAATTATGACACAAAATTCAAAAATTGTTGATTTAGTAAAAGTGACAACAATTTCAATATCTGCGGCCAAATTCAAGACCTTTTATTATCACATCTGTATTGCATGGTTCGGCACAAACAACAAGTGTGATCCAGCAGCCATGGTCTATCAAATCAGCGACAAATTGGACGACAGCTCAAAAGCAAGAGATCCAACATTATTGAACACAATAATTAATTCAATTGATTTCCAAGCCGATTTGAAAGGAATCAAAATTGAGTATTACGTAATAGACACTGCATATACTACTTTTGGATGGAATATTCCTATTTTCGATTGCACGAATACGAAACTACAAGATGCATATTCCAAAGAATTATATATTAAATCATCAGATAAAAATCATGTCAAATTTGGAATTAATGAATTGAATAAGTTTACTAATAATACATATTTGACTAATCTTAATTTCTATGATAAGACACAATACTCAGGATTCCAAAATATACAAGGACAAGTTACTTACGAACATTCTGTCTTTGATTTCGCAAATCCTCCAATTTTCCCTGCAACGACAGTTTTTGAATTCGATGTACTTGATTTCATTCTTTTGTATGCAATTGATAAATCATTGAACTTCACTGCTATCAAGAGATTCAACATCGGACAGGCTGAAATCAAACTTGACCAAGTAGAACCATTAGAATTTGCTGGTTTGACATATGGAACACAAACAATTTTGGCAATTAGATCTGATCCAATTGAATCATATGAACCTATGAGAATGGATATAACGGCTTCAAAGATAACAATGACTGTTGATTATTCAAATTCATTAAGGTTCGAAAACTTGAATAATTACAGATTATCTATTGCTTACAGAGGCCCAGAAAACTTGGAAAATCCTGTCAAGTTTGAAGTGACAAATTTCAACGGTTATGCTGAATTAATCTGTGGAGATCATGGTTGGCCTGATTCATTCAGAAATACAGAAATTATAAAACTAAATCCATATGCAACTACAGTTCCAATTAAGCTATTAAGGAATACAACAGGTCCTTTGATTACAACAGGAAAGTATCAAATTACTAATGAATTGGCATCAACAATCAAATCAAGTCAATTGAATTTGAAACTGTCAAATAATATTTCTTTCCTTCCTGATGTTGTTTTCCCTGATTTATCATTCGACGCTTTGTATTTGGATGACCACACAACAAGATTAGGTGGTTGCAAAGCTATTTTCGAAAATTTGGAGATAAGATTTAATACAATTGCCGAATTCGATGCTTTGCAAGTTAATGGAAATTTAACTGTTCTTCCTGGCGCGCAGATCAAACAAATTGAACATTCATCTGCAAAGAGAAATGGTAAAGCAATTGTTAGTAATATCTGTGATATTTTCGGTAAATATACAACAATCAAATGGAATTCTGATAGTTGGCCATTGATTATATTATCAAAAGATTGTCCTCAACAAACAGGAACAACAGAATTCAAATTCTCTTACGATGATACAATTTTGGTCAAAACATTTAATACATCGAATTTCTACAATAACTATATGGGCGCGAACCAAAGAGCTTTCATAGAGAACTTCAAACCATCAGAAGGAACATTAAAGAACTTGCGGAAACCAGATATTTGGATTCCACCAGCAAATCCATCTAAAAACTGGAAGACTTACCAGCCACAAATGACTGTTGATTATATTGGAGTAACAGGTACATTTTCTTTGAAAGTTACTGATGAATACAATAAAGAACACAAGGAACAGATGAGAGATATCAAACCAGATCCTGATTTCACTCCTTTGGCCGAAGAAGAATTCGGTGTAATTATGGGTAACAAAGGAAAAGGAAATGGTTTAGTAATAATCATCGTTGTTTCTCTAATTGTTCTCATCATCGCTGGTGGTATTTGGCTTGGAATGTTCTTCAAATACAACAAGACACTTGTTCCACTGTCATCAAGTGGATACAGTTACTCTATCAGCTACTCGTGGCTCAAGAAGAATAGGAAACACAGCGATTATAGCTATTCAGTTTAATCTCTATATAATATTAATTTTTTAAGGATACCCTTACATTGCGTAGTTAGAAAGAGAATATGATATTGTCATGATTGCTAAAGTTTTAGGCTCCAGAAATGAATATACATCAAACTGAAACAATTGATAAATTGAATGAACTTTTGAGAGGTTCTCAAATAAAAAAAATTATCTAATTTTTTACAATATTACTATTATTTTATCCACATATGTATATATAGTAATTTGAGAAAACTTTTAGGAAAAAATAAGTTTAATAAAAATCTGAATTTTACTTGTTGTGGGATTGTTATTAATTGACACTCCAGACGTATTACTAATAGTTATGCGTATGCAATTAAAGTATTTCTGATGGACAAAATGTGAGATTTATATCAGATAATTCATTTCTACTATTAAGTTATTCATTTATGAGTTTGCACTTATTCGCACTAAATAAATAACTATTAAAAATTGTTTTAATTAATTGACACCATATAATAGAGTGAATTTTGTTTGATCAAACAACAATAGATGATAGATATAAAGCCAAGAAACTTGCTATTAATATGCTCTACTTGCTATTTCAATAAGTATGATATTTTCTAAATGTTCGTTCAGATAACTTAGTTATATTAAGTCAAAATTTGAAATTTTAATAGCACATATATTAAAAATAATTATTATTCATAAAAGATTAATGAAATAGTAAAAAAATCAATCAAATTATAAAAATACAACATTTAGAAGAATTCTTATTATCCTTCAAAAAGTCAGTATTCTGCTGTAATTTTCTACAACATTGTAGTTATTGCACTTTGTCTATGGATTTGTATATATGTTATATATAAATTATATATCTAAACTGCCCATAAGTGCAATTTTTATATAAATTGTTTATTTCTTTAACAATTTCATATGAAATATGCTTTTTAAGCGTATCAAAGCTGTGTTCTTAATGTGCATGGATATATCAAGAAAATGTCGAAAAAAATGTGAATTCACAAATTCACTGAATTTTCACCGTTTTTGAATTTTGCTACAGCACTAATATTAAATAATACTAAAATCTTCTGTCTTTGTAAAAGAATAAATTCTGACAAAAAGTGCTCGTTTAAATTTAATGATCATCTGTATGACTAAGTGGTAAAAAGTGTTTATGACCAAAAAAGGGTTACATGCTTAGTCTATTTTTCTGACAGGATACTCTAGATTTACATGATCTCTATTTCATATCTCCGTTTTTAGATTCTTCGACAGATTTTATGATAGAAAACCAAGATTAACAAATTTCCAGCATGTTAATGAAGAAATCTGCAGCTACCCTCAATATTATTTCAATAATCAGTATCGTTTCTCTTACAATTTTATTTTTTTCTCAATAATTTAACAAGAAATAACAATACACACTTGGTTTTACGTATAAAAGCTAAGTGTCGAACTTAATCAACTTTACTTACTTAGCAAATGAATATTTTTGTGGTTGCGAGTTCTGAATGCTGAAGTTTTAGATTTCTCTATAAATGATATCATTGCACTTACAATGTTGTTCCAGCCTATCGCATAAATCATAGAAAATCCAAAAAAAAAATAATATAAAGAATTCATGTCATGAAGTTCAAAAAATACCCGTGTAACATTAAAATTTGTTATGCATAATACATTTTAGCTATTATTGATTTTTTTTTTTAATTTTCGAGAAATTGAATGGTGAGTCCGATAGAGAAATTTTTAAAAAATCCTAGTGCTCATAGAAGTAATTTCCCTCGTCTCCCATACTTCCAAATGTATGCATATGACATAAACTTTTATGCATTACACAAGTGGCCAATAATATCTATAGAGTAAAAATTAGAAATTTAATTTTTTTATATGATAGTTATATTTCAGATTTGCGAGCGTAACTTTTTTCTCCATGGCATACTTGTTTTAAGAGCAAATGATCAAAATCGTCCTTCAATTATTGAAGGAGCTGATATCTTTTGAAAATTGAATTGAAAGGGTATTCAATTTTCAAATTTCCTCTCAATTTTGGAAACATATCAACTCTATGAATTAACAATTATGTGCCTTCACAGTTTATCAGTCATATAAGGTGCTTATAAAGAAAAAAGTTACGCTCGCAAAATATGTTTTTATATAGATTTCACATAAAATAATTATGTAATTTCTAAAAAGAATATTTTTGTTCTTGAATATTAAAGTGTATTGTAGTTTAAAAAGTTTTAAATATGTTGCTAAAATTTCAGGTTTATAGCTCATGTCTAGCATGACTTCTTTGTATGCGCAAAAAATCTGACACGTAAGGGTATCCTTAATGTGAAATAAAATTTAAAATGTAGATATATAAACTTATTATTTTTACATAATATTGTTCATATGCCATCATAATGTAGTTTGTAATACTTTAATTGTATAGATAATCAGAATTCAAATAGAAAATGTTAAGGTCCAAGCAAAAATATATAAATGTATGTATCAACTATTCTTATGATATTCATTAAGCAGATCATCTTTAAGTGAATCTAGTTTATGATACAATTAAACATATATATATAATAAAACAACAAAAGTTTGTGTTGAAGAACCAAATGTTTTATGCGTGTATTAGTACCTCATTATTGTATTACATTTTTGCTTTGATTATTTAAATAATTTGAAATTATTCGAGAAAATCACTGGAATTGCTGACATATCAAGATGGAATTGAAATACTGAAGGATTTTAAATAGTATTTTGATGAGTATTTCATATGTATGATCGCATCCAAGATTGCAAATTCACCGGTGTAAAGGTTCCAACGAAAACAATTGAATTTCTTAAAAATATATGTTATATAGGTCTTGATTCTGAAATGTTAGTTATGTAAAAGAACTGTCATCTAAAATTTTCATTGTAAAATTTGAAATGTCAAAAATTTTTTCGAAGTAAAAAAAAATATGCATCATCATTTATTTGTATCGGACGAAATCCATGCAGTAGATTCAGTCTTACGAGAGATTAAGGATGATCCTCGGATTGAAGACATTAAGCGTGGCCTTTTTTCCCTGAAATCAACTTTATGGATTAAACCTCTTGAAGAGCAAAGTATTTCAGACGTTTTACAACCATTTTTGTCAATATTAGACTACAAAGATATTAATGAAACAATTGCTGTCACAGTATTCAAGTCATTACATCGAATAACTCATCATAAAGTGTGTTCAGATATAGAAAAAGGAGATTTCATGGCATCCAATCTACTTAAAATTTTCAATCGTCACACTAATCATCCGAATTTTAACATTTATGCTGTAAATACCTTTCAAATTATTTATGAATTAACACAAGGACAAAAGGTCAGTCCGCAAGTTGCAATAAATTCTCTCGAATGTCTCATTGAACACTATCCAAATCTTAAATTACCATTAATTTTGCCTTATAGTTTTTCTATTTTGGCAAATAGCATGGCTATGGTTGCAATCCCTTTATCAACGGATTTACTTGGATATCTAATTAACATGTCTCGCTATGGTGTTCCCGTACAAAGAGCTCTTTGCATAGAAATACTCGCAGCTATATCAGCATCACCAGATATCGACATAAATCTCATGAGACCGGCATCGGCAGCATTACTAGTTGACTCTCTCAACAATCCAGACCGTACATATTTCGTTCCTGTTTTAAGATTATTTTTTATTCTGTTTTCACGCAGCTGGGACGATCATCTCATAGAATTTGGTACATGCATTGACTTACTACTATCATTTATTAACTCAAAAACACATAATGCCGATTTAAGAGCAGATACTTTTGAATTATTAGCAGATTTCGCAGCAATTCCCAATTTTATCAAACAATTATACTCAAACTTCAATCAGAGAGACGCTTTACCGAATCTTTCTGATATTTTCCTGCAAACAATTTGCACAATTGCAGGATCTGACTCAGAAATCAAAGTTTCAAGGCAATTGGCCATCGGAGTAGTCTCAAGTATCGTTGGCCAACTTTCTGATTTCAGACATCGCTCGCAATCCACTTTTATTGATAGTTTAGATTTTAATGAAGAGAATCGTGTACTAAAAACTTACAAAACAGATGTAGACAGTCTCCTACAAGGCTTCAATACCGATATGACCCCTCAAGTCGCCGCTCACCACCTTCTTTCCATAGGAACAAACCCCGACCAACTTGGTATTTTTTTTTCAAAGAACGATAATTTTTCCCTCAATTGTTTGGATGAATTTCTGAGCCTCTTAAAATTGAGAGGTCTTCCATTTGAAATGGCCATTCGTGTCTATTTGACTGTTATTCACTTCCCAGGTGAAGGGCAAGTTATTGACAGAGCCTGTGAACATTTTGCGAAAAATTTTTACAAAAAAAACAAAAATTTATTTTTCAAAACGGAAGCATCAGTTCACATTCTCTGTTTTGCATGGCTAATGGTTCATACATCCCTACACAATACAAGTGTTACCGAGAAGACAACGCAAGAGTCATTTAGATCGATGTTAAAAGGCCAAAACGAAGATGAAGATTTCGAAGAAGATTTTTTGAATTATTTATACGAAGACATCCAAAAACATCCATTATTTACAGAACTAAACAACCAGATGAGAACCCCTGAGTACTGGTTCATCACCGAACAGCGCGAGACAGTTCTAAATCTCAGGAAAAACACAGGTTACGAAATGGGAGTCACCGCTGCTTTATTCGAAAAAACATGGAGATACGCGGCATCTGTTTTTTCAGACCTTTTCCAAAGTGGTCAAGAACAATCAGTTGATGCTTTTACTTCAAGTGTTCAAATAGCATCAACATTCCATGAAACTCATATAATTGATAACGTATTCAAAACTTTCTGTGCTTTTTCGGTCACTTCACTTAACGGTGAATTATCACTTCGTGCCATTGAATTTGTTTTGAGAATAGCTATAAGTTACGGTCAGGATATTTCGGATTGGTCACCTTTCTTGTCACTTTTAGCACGTTATTTCCAACATGGTACTATTCCAAGTTTAATGTGTACTTATAAAGACATAGTTAATGGCAGCTTTGTATTGATTAATCCCGCTATGTTTACTTTGCAAAAAGAGAATGTTGAAGTGACATTTTCTATAAACAGAAGACAAAGAAGTCATTCAAGTGTTTCTCAAAACATAAATGACACAAATCTCGCAATGATGATGAAAAACTTGAATCCTGAAATGATAGCACAAGCAAGCCGTTCTTTCCCTGTAAACTCTGTACAATGCATGCTCAGGGATTTCAATAACTCTTGTTCTTTGTCAAGAGTTTCTTCTGATGCTGCAATTGCAACGTCACTTTTTTTGATAAATTTCGGATGTCAAATTATTAAATACAATGCAGATAGAGTTGAAGAGATAGATGCCTACAAACTCTTCGATATAGCTGCACATGTTTGCGCTGTTGTTAATAGACCACAAGCAATGCAATCAATTATTTGTATATTTTTGCCAATTTTTGATTTCATTTCTCCGAAAATTTTCATCAAAGGGCCAAGTTTGTCAAGGATGTTCTCACAGAGAAAGTTCATACAGCAGAACATCGAATACAACATTCTTTTCTTGAGATTGTTACTTGAAAAAGAGTTTTATCATCCTTCTCTTTTCAAAATGATAACTTGTCCAACTGATTCCGTTGTTTTGTGGGATTTGTTTATAACTATTGAGTCTAAAATACCAAAAACATCTTTAGAATGCTTGGAATGCGTTGCGTTTTTGGTTGCAGGAAACAAAGTTCTACAAATAACTGAAATTGAAAACCGTTTACAAAAAATTCAAAATAATGAAAACGTGACAAATGTATTCAATATTTTGATGAATGCCACGATGAATTGCAGCGAAAAGATGAAGAGGTTCTCAATGATGATGATGTCTTTTTGCCAGATAGAGAACAAAGTTGATTTATTGACTGCGGAATTCGAACCAAGTTGGTTGGATTTCTTGAAAATGTCAATAGAATTCGAATACAAAGATAAAAGGCTTTTCGAATTCATTGACAAAGTTTTGTTAAAATTCAAAGAAAATGAAGAATTTGTCAACAAAACTAAAACATTTTACTCTGTTTTGAAGAGAGAAAATGACTTGAATGAGAATAATACACCGCAGAATGAAAGAAGAAGTTACTTGTATCATATTGCTAGAACATTAACTACTATTATTTGATTTTATTTATATATTTATATATATTTTGTTTGTTTTTTAAAAAAAGAAACTTTTATTTAAAGATGCACTTACTACTTTCTGACATGCTAGCATAATATCAATATATCTTTATTGTAATTACAAAAAAAGTATTGCATTAACATAAGGTACTATGCAGTGATTTAAAATAACTTTTTCCCGAACAAAATTATTTGAAGAAAAAGCTGGAGTGCCAAAAAATTGAGAGAATGTCAGAAATTATTGATTTTAAATTACGCCCATTTGACATCATATCAATTTTTATATGACATCAATGATTGTTTAGCATAGAAACTGGAATCATCTGCAAAGGATTTCTAAATCTGAATGCTTTTATGAACAAAAGCAACAATGACTCTAATCTCACCGCAAACCATTTGATGAATTACAAATCAATTTCTTTCAAATTTTAGCAAAACTCTCACATTTTGAAATAAATTTTGGAACTTTTTCGTTGAAAAAGCAAAAGTGACTAAATTTTTTAAAAATTTAATATCATTTTTAAATAATTTTAATGAGTGTATATATTTAATTAGAGAGCAATTCTTTCTCTCAAATTCGAATAAAAGATATTGTAAATTAAAATGGCACTTTTTAAAATTTATAATGAACATTTACAAAACAGATGATATGGTAAAAAACTTTTATCCTGATATCCTTAATAATTATCATGATCTTTACAGTTACCCAATAGGTGTGATTCAAAATAACGAATCCTGTGTTGATTTGTCGAATTATATTAATTTTGATTTGCTCTCGGACCTGATTGCAATCTTGAAATCAGAAGAATGTATTGTTCGTTCCGATGTTCTCGAAAATATTTATATTTTAACAAAGTTTGACAAAGTCATTGAATTTCTTAATCATCGAGATATATACAATTGCATTAAGTCAAGATGATTTGCAAAAAGACAACTATATTGCGATTAGGATCCTCACAAGATTACTTCCTCATGTTGATAACAATGAAATATATTTAACAGATCACCCAATCGATGAATTCCGTTTTCTTAGTGAACCAGATGAAGTTGTTCCACTCTTCGCCAAATTAATAGAACTTAATCCAAATCAAGATAATTTTAGATCAAGAGCTCAATTTATTTACGAAAAAACAGAATTTGATTGCTATAAAGACATAGTCATGATTTTGAAAAGTATTTTACCTGTTTATCCAGGAGAGATTAACTTTCTTATCGCACTAGCGACACCAGATTTACCATGTTTCTTGAGAAGGCTCACAGTACGTATCCTTCGTGATGATGAGATAGAAGAAGACATTGAGAGCTTGACTGGTTTAATGGAAGCTTTTATAGTTCCTTTAACAAGTAATATCAAGATCAACGAAGACGTATTTTTAATTATTCAAGAAACCAATTTGGTTTGCAATGCCTTTAGATATTTCATGTACATAGATTGTGATAATGACTTTCAGTGGAGTGCCAGTCGGTTCTTCGAGATTTGTACTTCTCACGATTTTTTACATAAAGAAGCATTGTATTCAGTCACAGACTGTGATTTTACTGATATTGTTGACACGTCTCACAATCGCGAATTTGAGCAGCAGATACATTTCATTGTAATTATTTCTAATCTAATCCAACAACTCGGATATAATGCAGCAGAACTAGCCATTGAGTATGACATACTCACATTGATAAGTTCTTTCATTCCAGATCACATTCAATATGCTTTGAATGCTCTTGACGTGCTTATTGAAAAGTACGTTGAAAAAGATCATGGAAAAACCATCTGTGATCTTATTGGTGAAACTAGCATCATGCAAGATTTGAAGGATGTTACAGAAGTTAATGACAATGACGACGAATTCGACATGATCATTAATTTTGTCAATCATTTCAACAACTTAGCAAATAACTGAGTAAAGTAATTCACAATTGTTTACTTCTCAACATATTCCTTAAGGGTATAGTAAACTCAAAATTCTAGAGTTTTGAGAGTGCCAATAAACTCTATAGGCCTATATATATCTATATTTTAAAGGAGAGGTTACGCCATAATATTTGATATTATAAATTATTAATTCAAAATAAAAGTAGAAAATGAAACTAATTTTATTCTAACCTATATAAATATATCAATAATCTAAAATGATTATAGTCTGAACTATATTTTACCAGATTATCAAATATAAGAGAAATGAAATAAGGCATAAAAATATCATAGCATAATTATTGGATAAATGCATTAATAAATTATTTATATCATAATGAAAAAAAATCAAAATAAGAAAATGAGCATAATAATAATTTAATTAAAAACAAAAACAATAAATAAAATGTAATTTTCGTTAATCAAAGTCATCAATGTCTTCGTCTTCTGATTCCCATTCGGACTTGAAAACTTGATAATCTCCTCCTGGTACACTCTGAATGGATTTTTTGTATTTGTTCTGTTTTTTAGAACCTTTTGTAACAGTTTTTTGTTTCAATATCATTTTGGAGTAACAATTCTCTTCAAATGATTTGACACAATCTTCTGGAAGTGGGGAAAGATGTAATGCTTTTTGTATATCTCCGAGAAAATGCTCTGGATCATTCCATTCTAAGATTGCAACGTTAACTCTAATGTTAATGTTCTTCCAGGCTCTTGATTTGTCCAAATAGCATGCAATTTTGGAGTTAAACGCTTCATTCATGCAGGTAGATCCAATGGAAGAAACTTTGGAAACTATGGGTGTCCATTTGTGAACCCAGTCATAGAGCATGAATTGAAGTTGGATCGAATTGACACCTTTTTGCCATTCAAAGCATTTGTAATTGTGCGGTTCGCAAAAAGAATGATTGCCTACGTAATGGTAGACACAATTCTCCCACATTTTCGTACGTTTGTCAATATTTTCTTCGGCAAAACATGACCAAAGCCACATACTTAGGCTTGCATTCAGACCCCAGAAAGGTCTCTCTATTTTTTCAATCTTCTGAGTCTTGTCGTTGAAAACTTCAACTGTCTTATGAGAAGCTGAGAACTTTGTAAAATCTTTTGAGATATTTTTTGATACATGACCTGGATCGAATCTTTCAAGATGAGAGACGCCAAATTCTTTAAAGACAGAGACACTTTTGTTATCTCGGTCTTTAATAATCTCTTTAACATCTTTCAAGATATTGTATTTCTTTAATTGCTTCAAGATGATTCGAGTTCCAGCACTTTCCATATTGTTGGAAGCTCCGGAATACTGAGCATGCTGTCTGTTTCCACCAATATGGTTGATGTTCACGCATGCAAGAACTCTTTTTGTGACAGCATCGAGCGCAGTTACTGTACAACTTGGCGAGTTTCGCCTGTGCGTCCATCTTGCATCAATGGATAAGTAACCACTGAAGGACTTTCTCGACAGCATTAGGGAAATACTTTTAAGTCTTCTAATCTTATCGTCACAAAATCTCTGTTGTCTCATGACACCACTCTTCACAGGGGGCTTAGTTCCACAAAGAGAAAGAAAGCGAGCACCTTTTGTATATGGCATTCCGGTCATTATGCAAGCACCAAGCATCTGTCGCGCTGAGAGTCGACGACGTTCGTGGAGTAAAATGTTATGCATTGCCTTTGTTTTCCGTTTTGGGTGAACAATATGGCCCATACAACAACAAAAAAATGAAATCCCGCCAAAAGTGAAAATTGAATAAAAAGTAATAATTAATAAATATATACTATATCATTAGATGAATATTTTGGAATAACATTTTAAAATCGAGGTTTTTCAATGGATAACGGTTCAATCAAAAATTTGACCCCATTTTAGAATCTACATTAAAAATGGAACATTTCTGTCGTTTCAAAATTCCAAAATAACGTTTCTATTCCTCTCAAAAGTAAAAATAAACTTTATTGGGGAAAAATATTTTTATTTTCCAAAAAAAATGAAAACCTTAAATGCAAATCTAATTTTGATGCTTTTGTTTGTGATTTTTTGGATTTCGAAAAAAATTTGAAAATTCAGACAAGTTACCATTAACACTAATACGTTTCAGCGAGTCGGTCCCATCAGAGAAATTTTCATAAATCGGCGATATAATTTATTATTTCAGCAAAATATTCTCAGATCCAACTAGAATAAGGTCAAATTATACAAATTTAGCAAAGGCTAGTTATCCTACCTATTCAATTAACTTTAATTTTAAATAATTCAAGACAATTCTCAAAATTACCTTAATAATCGCGTTCTCTTCGCAAAATGACGATTCATCATTCACTACCAGCATAACTGAGGGCTTGTGCTCACAGAATAATACAGATAATTTACTTATTAATGCAAAATTTAGTACCAAAAGGTAATCATAGAAGATACAAAAAAAGTTTCTTTATTTTGATTGCTGATTTTATTTCTTCTAAAATTTACCAAATCTAAAAAATCCAAAATTGAATGCTATTGAATTTCATGTTTATGTAACATATACTATTTATTATATAAGGAATAAAAATTTTATAGTTTTAATCAAAAATAAAGGTGTACTAAATGCATACAAAACAAGGTATTTTTTACTCATCCAAAATATGTTAACAGTGCTATTTATATAATCAATATCCGAATTTCGAAATCATTTTGATGAAATCTTTATTTTAAAATTGAGTTGACTGTTAAAATCACCCGAGAAGAGGGATTATCTCAATGAAAAGTACATAAAATAGCAAACGCACAAGATGGCACTATGCAGCTTTATATTGTTATACAGGATGAACATATAAAATGTTTGGAAAACACTTACTTCGTTCTACAAATGTGTATCTCTTTATATCAAAGATTCTTCTCAAATTATTGAGAGACTTCTCTCAAAAAAAGGAAAATTTGATAACTAAAAAAAATTATGGCATAACCTCTCGTTTTGCATAGATATATATTTACATGGTCACAGAGCTTATTTTCATTGTCAAAACTTAAAAATTTTTAGTGGACTATACCCTTAAATGTTTGATTTTTTTGAAAATAAAACTATTAATTTTCTTTATTTCTTCAATTTAGATTATAGAATATACACACAACTTCTACTCAGAATAATATTAAGCAAATTAAAGTGTTGAATAAACTTAGAGTGCAAAATCTACATTGTTTTAGAAACCATTATTTTTGTCAATCAACATTGTTTGCCACTACATAAAGTAATTCACAATTATTAGTGGCAAATATTGTAATGTCAAAATGTCATTTTTTGTGAGTTATCCCTGACTCCTTCATAGAGATTGGTTTTGACATGAAGGAGTGGAATTTCACTTCTGTAATGGATATGATAGATAGCTCAGAATTTATGAATATGAATTAACAATTCTAAATAGTAGGTTATATAACTTAAATTTGATAAATTAATATAAGCATATTCTAATAAAATTTAAGTTAAGAGTATAAAATTCATTGGCTGTATATTGTATGTGCCATCAATGATATGTTAAATTCAATAATTTTATGACGAGTATAAAATTCAGATCAAAAAATTATCGTTTTATGAAGTAATATACTTGCAATATGTTTTACATGTTTATGATATATGATTAATGACTTTGCATAGGGCTACAAAGTAGTTTTGCAAGTAGAAATTTGATAAAGATATATTTTTATTCATAATTTAGTTAATTAAATGAGGAACACCCGTTATTTCGAAAATTCCATATAATCTAGCTCCAATTTTTTTTTAAAAATTATATGATTTGGATTTGAATAAATGGGGAAAAATGATACTATTGCGTCTAAGTTTGTTTTGGTTTATTTTATGATAATCTGATACATAATACTTATATGGGAAATTTTTGATCAACTGTTCGATTGCTAAGAAAACAAGTTAATTGTTCAATTTCAATACTATCATTCTTTTAATCATTATATGCACATAAGAATATAATATGCAATGAGCAAAATGTTTTATAATTTTTGTCAAACATGAATTGAAAGGGAGCAATAAGACACCTATTCAATTTTTGAATTATCTCAAAAACAATATAATACTCTACTCATCTATTATTAAATATATTTTAAATCAAAATTTTCGTTGGTTAGGTATCTCTGAAAAAAACATAAAACACAATTTCAGTTTTTTTAGAAAATGGCCGAGGTCGCATGCGCAATATGTGGTTGCAAAGAGAAAAACTGTCTCGCACACTCATTGGAATACAATGTCTGGTTTTGCAATGGCAAATGTGGAGCCGGAAAGAGTCACTTTTTTAGATTTCTAAAAATGACAAGATCTACTGATATTGATTTTCCTGAAGGCAATCCTTTACATGGACAAGAAATCAAATGTGATGTATGTGGCGAAACTAGTCTTTTCTCTCTTGGAATTTTTGAGTCTGATTCAGGAAGAACAATTGTATGTTCCAGCAGATGCCAATTCGATGACAGATTCAAAAATGAGAAAAACAAGAAGTTCATTCCACTAATTACTGACTCAAGTATTGCAGAAGAAATATTACCTTTCCCAGAGAACTGTCCTGAAGAGTTAACACAAGCAGAAATCTCTGACAAGATCAATAAGATTGTTGGCCGTGAGAGAAAACAAAATAAAACTACTTTGGAAAAAGCAAAATACACATATGAAACAGCTGATGAGTATCAGAGTATTTTCACTGCAATGATTAGAGCAGAATCCAATTCCAACACATTCAAAACAATGAAAGAGATCATTAATATCTCAAATGTTAAATGGATTGGTAAAAGAAAGTTTTCTTTCCCTATCAAGCCTTCCGCACAAAGAAATATCACATATGCATTCACATATTCAATTGCAAAGAGTGGCCATGCGGAGTTTAAGGAAAAAGCATATTTCGAGAAATATGATGAAAAAGAAGGAAGAATTCATATGTTCTTGGACGTTGATTCTGACAATTTTCAAGCTGATTCCATGAAATTAAGGAAAGAAATAAATTCCGCAACATACCAACGTCAACTTAATGCAGTAGAAACATTCTCTAATTTACCTAATTCAATACCAAGTTCTATCAAAGAATTTGAATATGAATTCTGGCAAAACTTATTCTTAGGAAATTTTGATGCTGCTACTTTCAATGAATTAAACAAGATTGAAAGAGTTGTTCCGATTTCAGAGAATGCACCAAAATTAAACACATCACAAACAAAAGCTTGTGAAGCAGCACTTTTGTTATATACGAAAACGATAAAAACAGTTTGACAGAAAAGTGACAACTTTACGTGTCAAAAATATAAAAAGTGATATTTTATTCATCATTATCTTCTTCATAATTTATTTCATATTCTTCTTCATATCCACCTTCATATTCTTCACTTTGTCCCTCCTTCTCTTTTTTACCATCTTTATTATCAATAAGAAAATAATTTGAATAAGTTTCAATATAGATTGATCAATTTATGAATGGGAATCCAAAATTAGAACAGCCGAATTGGTATATTGATAACAAATGATATTATGTTATTAATAAGGTATAAATGTTTTGAATGTAATTCAAATTAATTTTGAATATGAAATTGAATAAGATTGAAAAATTAAATATATAGAATTTTGAATGAGTTTCCGTTGAAATGAATGTTATGGAAATGTAGAAAATATTAGCCTTTGATGAATTGGAGGGTGAGAGATATTATTTCATACAATACTACTCTCACCCTCCAATTCCCAGCCAAAATGGCTAAAAATTGCCCGCAATGTGAACAATTGCGGGCAATTTTTAGCCATTTTGGCTTGGAACTAGAGCCTGCGAGTACATGATAGTATCATACCTCACAGGCTCTAGTTCTCTATATGGCGCCGAGAAATTTTGGTGAAATGTGGTCGCATTTCACCAAAATTTTTTCGGCGCCATAGGATGAATTGGAGGGTGAGAGATATTATTTCATACAATACTACTCTCACCTCCAATTCCCAGCCAAAATGGCTAAAAATTGCCCGCAATGTGAACAATTGCGGGCAATTTTTTAGCCATTTTGGCTTGGAACTAGAGCCTGCGAGTACATGGATATATCAGTACCTCACAGGCTCTAGTTCTCTATATGGCGCCGAGAAATTTTGGTGAAATGTGGTCGCATTTCACCAAAATTTTTTCGGCGCCATAGGATGAATTGGAGGGTGAGAGATATTATTTCATACAATACTACTCTCACCCTCAATTTTAATTACTTAAACTCATTCTATTTTTTTGACATGTAAATGTCACTTTTACTGAGATCTGACACAATGTCAGATCTCTTTTTTTCGTATATAAGACTTTCACAGAAATTCACATTCATTCAAGGTCCTCCTGGTACAGGAAAAACAAGAACAATTGTTGCTATAACAAAGTCATTCATTGATGCAGGAATCAAACCAGTTTTGATTGTTGGACATTCCAATCTCACTGCTGATTTCTGCTGCCAAGAATTAAGGCATATAAATGTTGGCCGTGTTTTGTCATTGCAAATTGAAGATGCTATTGTCGCAGCAAAGGCAAATGAAATTGATTCTGAATACGATCATCCAATTCCAGGATTCAATAGATCAGACTATTCCATTCATCGTAAAGCAGTTGATGCTTATAACAATAAGAATGGTATTGAAGCTGGTACATATCCAAACATGAGGAGAATGAAGGTTTACAGGGAATTGAAGGACATCGAACAAAAATTAATCATGGACAAAGATGCAATTTGCGTTACATCTTCCACAAGTGGAGCAGCAAGGCTTGATACATTGAAGAATACTAAATTAAGATTCCCTGTTGTTATCTTTGATGAAGCAGGTCAATGCATTGATCCAGATTTCTTGATTTCTTTGTGTCATTTCCCTGAAAGAATGATTCTTGTTGGCGATACATTTCAATTGGGCCCTTTGATTTTGAATCGTTCAGCAGAGCAATGTGGACTTGGAGTTAACATTTTGACAAAATTGCTCAAACAAGAAATAGCTCCAAATCTTCTTGTTCATCAGTACAGAATGCATCCCGCACTTCTTGAATTCCCTTCAAAATACTTTTACCATGATCTTGTTAAAAGTGGAATCAAAGCCGATGCCAGAATTTTTGCTTATCCAAAGGGCAAAATGTTCAAATTCCCTAATCCAGAAAAGCCTCTCATGTTCTGGGATGTCGATGGAAAAGAAAGCGTTGGCTCAGATGGAAACTCATTTGTTAACTTGGTTCAAGCAGATGCAGTTTCTAAGGCTTTGGATGCTTTGCATGAAGCTGGAATTCCACCAGAATCCATTGGTATCATCACTGCATACAATGGCCAGAATGATTTCCTTATGGACAATCTTGGAGAAATATGCAGTGTCTGCGGTGAAAAGTTTATCAACAGAGTTGAAATCGCAACAGTTGATGGATTCCAAGGCAGAGAAAAAGACTTCATCATCTTCAACTTGGTCAGATCAAATCCAGATTTCAACATTGGCTTCCTTGTTAGGAAAGAAAGATTGAATGTTTCCATCACAAGAGCTCGTTATGGTCTCATTGTAATTGGAAGTGCAAGAACTTTCTCTGGATGCCAAATGTACTGCGACTGGATGAAATACTTTGTTGACAATAATTGCTTCATCAGAGGCGATGACTTCACGTGTCTTTATCCAAGTTCTTTCACATCTCATGTCGGAGAAAAGGAGAGGAAGGAACAAGAAAGAGCACAACGCCAGTGTGAAAATAAGAAGTAATTCTACTCAAAATAAAATCTTTTAATTTCGTTTCTATTTCAAAGAAATTTTGCATTGGAAACAAAATACTATTTTTAATGAGAAAATCTCAATATTATGTTTTTCTAATAATAAATGTGAGAAATCAATTATACAGATACAAGACGAATGTTTCCCAAAATATCAGGATAACATCGTTAATTGATGAAAGAATTTTTAAACGGCATTTTTTGTTTTAAATGCCCCGCGACCTTGTAAATAGGCTTCGGGAGCTGAAAAAACATCTTAAAATAGATGAATCTGATGACGAAAAACCAGTTGCGAGTCCGAAAAAGAAAAGAACGCAGTCCGTAAAACGAGCAAAACCAAAATCTCCACCAAAGAAAGTTCAAAAGAAGCGCAAATCTTCAGTAACCAAAAATATGATCGCTAAAAAGAAAGTTCCTACTAAAACTCAACAGAAAAATCAAATAGTTGATAAATTCGAATTATTTATGAAGAAAAGAGAGCTAATTGACGCAATTAATATGAGAACACTGAAATCTGCGTTTAGAAAATGGGTTTCTGCAAAGTTATCACACCAAAAAGCTACAAAACCACAAAAATCAAATCCGTTTTCAGCAATTAAAGTCGATTACAAACCAAAATCAGTCGAACCTACTAGGAAGAAAGTTGAAAAGAAAGAAAAAGTAGCACATCCAGTTAAACAATTAAATCTTGAACCAGGAAAAATTGCTGCTGCAGCTCAGCGCTTCAAACAACTCAAGAAATACCAGGAAGATAAGCCAGTAATGAAAAATATACCGACATTTAAGCAAAGCTCTCGTCCAAATCTATCTCCACCACTGAAAGTTGAGAAGAAGCCAGTCATCAAGACAAAACCAAACGAAGCATCTAAAATTAAACCAGAAGAAAAGAAAGAAGTTAAAGAAACAATTCCAATTTCTCGAAGACATGAAATTCCTAAGGTCAATTATCATGATTCTTCATCAGATGAAGAGCTTATTAGATTCACTAACGAATTACTTCGACGCAAATCTAATGCTAAAGTTGGCCAGCCACTTAAAGATATTGATGATAATTTTTCAGATTCAGATGATGAAGGAAAGCAGAAGAAACCTGCTCCAACTGTTCCAAAGATCCAACTTAAACAGTTTTCTAACTCATCAGATGATGATTTCTTGTCCTTCTTGAACAAAGGAAAGAATCTTCCGAAGAAGAACTTCAAAGAAGAAGGAAAAGAGATCAATATACAAAAGAATGATGACTCAGACTCAGATTTCGGTGTTTCAATGCCTAAATTTGCTTCTAAACCAGATAGTGTCACAAAACCATCTCCAGATAAAAAGCCAATTTTAGATTCCGACGAAAGTGATGAAGAAATTGCCGAAATCATCAAAGGAATCAAGAAGACAACAAACCAAACTAAACCACAAGAAGAGAAGCCATTCTCAAAGCGTTTGTTAGGTAGTTCTGATGATTCTATTTCTGGCAAAAACGAAAACGCAACAGAGATGAAATTACCAAATACGATTCAAGATTTGAGTTCAGAAGAAGACAAATTAGAAGAGAAATCTGATGATTCAATCGGTATAAAGAACATTATACAGTCTGCTTCATTACACAAATCAACACCAAAGACTGATAACAAGAAATTGATAATTTCATCATCAGATGATGAAGACATCAAACGTCCAGAATCTCCAAAGATTCCAGTTCAATCTAAAGAAGATAGTGACAGTGATATTGAACAGTATCTTAAGTCAATCAAGTCAGAGAAACAAAAAGAAATTGAGTTGTCAAGTGATGATGAATTCCTCAATAAATTCAGTCAGAAGAAATCTGATGCTTCTCAAAGCAACAAACAAAACAAAGACGAAAATGATTCTGACGAAGAATTCATGAAGAATTTGAAACAAAATCAAAAGACTGAAACAAAGATTTTGAATTCTGATGACTCTGATGAAGAAATAATGAAAGATATTAAGCCAAAGACTAATGAAGCTCCTCAATCTAAACCATCTAATTCATCATCTAAACCAAAGATTGAAAAGACTTCAACTCCAAAGATTTTAGATTCTGATGAATCTGATGAAGAAATAATGAAAGATATCAGACCAAAACAAATTCTTCCTAAAGAAGAATCGATTGACTCTGATGAAGAGTTTATTAATAATTTGAAGAAACCAACAATGACAACAACACCTAAACAATATCAAGAACAAAAGAAAGAAGTTGATTCTGACGAAGAATTCATGAATAACTTCAAGAAACAAACAACTTCATCTACTCCAAAACAAACTGTTGAAACTAAAGAAGAAATTGATTCCGATGAAGAGTTTATGAATAACTTAAAGAAACCAGTAATAACTACATCTGTTCAACCAAAGAAAGAAGTTGATTCCGATGAAGAGTTTATGAATAACTTAAAGAAACCAGTAATAGCTACATCTGTTCAACCAAAGAAAGAAGTTGATTCTGACGAAGAATTCATGAATAATTTGAAACAACAACAAAAACCAGAAGAAGAAAAAGTTAAAGATGATGATGAAGATTCTGATGAAGAGTTCATGAAGAAGTTTAGTCAGAAGGTAGATTCATCATCAACTAAACCAGTTGTTGAAGAAGAAGAGGAAGAAGAAGATAACATAGACTCTTTCTTATCCAAATTAAAGGAAAAGCATTCACCATTAAAGTTAATTCCAAAGCTAACAGTTAAGAATAGTTCAAGTGAAGATCTTTCTAAGGATAATGTCCAGAAAACTGAAATTTCTCCGGAAATTAAATCTGATGAAGAGGAAAAGAACATCATTAAGGATATTAACTCTGATTCAGATGATGAATTCATGAAGAGCATTCAGTCCAAACTCAAAGCAATGAATGATAGCATTAATAAGATTGATGAAGAAGAAAATTCAAATGAAGATTTGCAAATTGGCGACAAACAAGATGAAAATGCCTCTATTGATAATAAGAATGATATTGTTCTTGGAGAAGAAGACTCTGATGAAGAATTTTTGTCGAAATTAAAACAAAAGACTCCACAAAAAGATGAACCTGAAGAAGATTTAGATGATGATGAAAGTATTGAGGACTTTATGGCAAAGATTACTCAAAAGAACTCTTCTCCGGCAAAAGAAGAAAAATTAGATGTCAAGGAGACTCCTTCAAAGAAATTATCAGAGAACGATAAAGAACTACTAACTAAGCCACAACAAGATCACTCTAGCAGTAGTGATGATGAATTCTTATCCAAATTCTCGAAATTCACAAAGAAAGTAGAGGACGAGAACGAGAAAGTAGTCAATTTATCAAAGGAACAGGCCGAACATGAGGAAGAAGAAGAAATTGCAGAAGAAAATGTAAAATTATCTCATCAATCAGAGGAATATGAAGAGGAAGAAGAAGAGAAGCAGAATGATCAATTAGATAATGATGACATCGAAACAATGAAGTTAGTAAAACTTTCTGAAAGTAGAGAAAGTGATGAAAACGAAAAAGTCGTCAATCTTTCCAAAGAACAAGAATCAGAACATGAAGAAGAGGAAGATAATGCTAAAAACATTATTTTCATTCATGAATCCGATTCTGATGATGAAATTTTGGCTAAATTTGCTAAGAAAGCATCCTTTGGAAATGAAAAGAAAGATGATAGTTTACCTGATACAAAATCTTCACCAACTACTATTAAACCAGAAGAGAAGACAAATCCAGCCAAATCTTCTAATAATTTGACACCAAAGTCATCAACATCTAACCAAAACGCAGTCAAATCAGATGTCCCAGAGAAACAATCACCAGCTGCTTCTGCAAAACCACAAAATAATGCTGTTCCTCAAAATGTTACAAATAATCAAGTTCCGAATAAAGATTCTGAAGAAGAAGAGGAGGAGGATGATATTGATAACTTCATAGAATCATTGAGAAGCAAAACAAAGAAGTATTCAGATTCAGGATCCCATCTTCTTTCATCTCAGTCTAAAACATCTGATAAACATGAAGAAGAGGAAGAGGAAGATGATGGAGTTCACTTTGATTTCAATGATGACAAAGATGAAGAGGAGGAAGAAGAGAAAGAAATCATCCAAGAAAACAAAGTTGATAGCTTCAGTAAATCATCAAAGAAAGAAGAAACAGAAGAGGAAGAGGAAGACAAAGTTGATTCTTTCTTAAACAATTTACATAAGAAACAAGAAGAAAAGAAAGAAAAATCTGATGATGAAATTGAAGATTCAGGAAATGACAGTCTTGATGAATTTATTGCAGGACTCAAGAAAGCAAAGGAAATGTCTTCTTCAGGTAATGAAGAAGATGAAGAAAAAGAAGAAGTTGTAGTTAAAGAAGAAACTCCAATTCAAACAGAAAAGGCTGTTTCTGATAAAGAAGAGGAAGACGAAGATGTTAATGATATCATTCGAAAACTTAATAACAATCCACAAACATCAAAGAAAGTAATTTCACCTCCAGAAGTTGATGAGGAAGAAGAAGCCAATCAACCAACTTCAAAACCAAATTACATCAAAGAAGTTGAAGTTGAAGAAGAAGATATTAATGATTTCTTAAGAAAACTCAACGTGAAACCTCAACCACAGAAGGAAACTACTCAAAAACCAGTTGACGAAGAGGAAGAAGAAGAGGAAGATAATGGTGATGACATCTTAAGTAAACTTAGAGCAAAGAATCCACAAACAAAGACAGAAGTTAAACCACAAGAAATTGAAGAAGAAGATGCTCATGAACAACTCAATGAAACTGAAGAAGAGGAAGATGATAATAGTGTTGATGACGTTTTAAGCAAACTTAACAGAAATAACCAGCAAACAAAGACAGAAGCTAAACCTCAAGCTGTTGATGAAGATGATATTGAGGAAGAAGAAGACAATGTTGATGGTATATTAGCAAAACTCGCAAAGAAATCTCAATCATCAAAACCTGAAGAAAAACAGACAAAAATTGAAGAAGAAGAGGAAGATGATGAAGATATTGATAACTTCTTAAGTAAGTTGAGCTCTACAAAGAAAGGAAAATTTACAGAAGAAAAGGAAGAAATTGAACCAAAATTAGCTCCAAAACAAAATGCTCAAAAAACAATTAATAAAGAAGAAAAAGCATCTAATAAAGAAGAAGAAGAGGAAGATGATGAGGATATTAATAATATCTTAGGTAAATTAAGCTCCTCAACGAAAGCAAATACAGCTCCAGAAGAAAAGAAAAATATTGAACCTAAATTAATACCAAAGCAAAATGCTCCAAAACAAATCAACACCGATGAAGAAGAGGAGGAGGAAGATGATGAAGATATTAATAACTTCTTAAGCAAATTAAGTTCCTCAAAGAAAGCAAATGTAGATCCAGAGGAAGAAGAAGAGGAAGTTGATGAAGATGTTGTGAACTTCTTGAAAGATATAGAAGATAAAAAGAAGCAAAATCTTCCTGATTCTGCAAATGAGGAGGAAGAATCTGATATGGATTCATTCCTCAAAAAGATTGCATCAAAGAAAGTTGATGATAAAGATTTAGAAAATGAAGAAGAGGAAGAAATAGAAATTGATGAAAATATAGATATTGATGGATACATTAATGGATTGGGTATAAAGAAAGAGATGAATGAAGACTCTTTATCAAGTGATGATGATGCTTTCTTCAAGCAGTTACTTGAAAAGAACAAAAAAAATCAAAACAAAGTAGTTAATGATGATGAAGAAGAAGAGGAAGAAGAAGGATTCGAAATAGAACCTCCTTCAGAGAAAAAGAGTGAAAATGATTCGGTAAAAAGCAATCAGCCAATAAATGTTAAAATGCCACCAAAGCCAAGCAATTTGAGATTTGATGACGAAGAAGAAAGTTCAGAAGATATTTAACTTTATATTTTAAATTTTTTTGTATTTATTAAAATAATTTATTTGATAATTGAATTATTCTTTCATAATATCATTTAATAAATAAGCCAGCTTGAGAAAAAGATAATGCAAGGCTACCAATGATAGTATAGTATTTCTTTATCTTGTTGATCTTTAGTAAGTTATAATAATACAAATAAACATTTACTATAATACAACAAAATACATTTAAAAATGTTATAAAAGAGTTCTAATAACAACAGAGTTATCTTTGTCTGGTTTGTTGCTTCTCTTGTTTCGTAGCAAGATGCTATTCTCAGCAACAAGTGCTCTGAACTCAATGTTCTTCTTCAAATTCTCTTCTTCATTCTTTATTGCATTTCTTTCCAAACTCAAGAACTCTTTTCTTTTGGCAGAGTTGAATTTAGAAAGAAGTTTGATTTGATCTTCTAATTCATCAACACGAAGTTTAGCATCTTCTAATTCTCCTCTAAGATTGTATATTTCTTTGTCTTTCTTGAATACAATATTCTTAAGCTCTCCAACTTCTTCTTCTTTGTTAAATGAAACTTTCTTTAACTCGCTGAGAGCTTGAGTGAGTCTTTTAAGTTCTTTCTTGTTTTCACGGTTCTTTTTGGCTTTTTCTTCATATTTTTCTTTAGATACCATTGAAGAAACCTCTTCATTGAGTTCATCAATTTGTTTAATAAGCATTTTATGAGTCAAATCAATTCCTTCAAGATTATTATTTTTATCTACTTGAAGAGTTTGGATTTGGTTTTGGAGATCGGATATTTGGTTCCTATACTGTTCAATTTCTTCTTGTGTGGCTGTTTTCTCATTCATAATTTCTGAGATATAATCAATTGCGTTATTTTCTTCACATGAAGAGATCCACCACCAATTTAGACTATCAGACCTATAATCATGACTATCCTTTGACTTCCTCCATCTGTTAATCATAACTGTTGCAACAATTATGTTTCGTAGTGAAGGAGTCTCTTTGTTAACAAGGGAATTAAGCTTATCAAGGATAGTTCTATTAATGCGAGCAAAAGAATTTGATATTAATTTGATTTTCTCTAATTTTGCAATCATAATTTTTTGAGAATAGTTTTCTTTTTCAAGTTGGTCTGCAACTTCGGCACGTTCTGCAAGTTTTCTATTTGCACGTCGAAGTTCTCTCATCTGGCGGCGTGTTTCTTTTTGTTGATTTGGAATTACATTTAGGAATTCACATAATTCACTAACAGAAGACATGTTTGGAGAAGACTCAAATATTTGTTTTACAATTCCATCATATTCTACAACTTTTTGTTGGAGTTTTGATCCGATTTCACTTAATTTTCTGTTGTCTTGCGTGAGAGTCTTAATTTGAGCTTTTTGTTTTGTATCTCTTGCCTTTAGATCTGTATTTTCATTTGTAAGAATGATCAATTTCTTTGATGCTGCGTTCAATTCGGTTTTTGCTGAATTAAATTTTTCCATCAGAGTTTTTACTCTTTCTGTTTGCTCCTCGATTGTTTCTTTGATCTCATTAGACTCATTATTCTGTGTATCAATCTGTTTTTGAAGTTCATAAACTTGATCTTGTAATTCTGTATTATTTTGAGCTAATTCTTTATTTGTATTTTGGAGATCTTCAATATTCTCGTGTAGTTTTGGTATTTCTTTGAGTTGAACCTTAAGTTCTGAGATTTCTTTCTGTTGTTTTTCGAATTTTTCTAAATACTCCATTCTTTCGCTATTCATGCTTGATGCGCTTTCATTGTAATCACTAATCTCTGCTTCTTGTCCTTTGATGATTTTCTCCTTTTCTGCCAGTGTTTGTTCAAGTTCATGGCATTTTTCCATCCATTTTGAAACTTCTGCTGTTTCGTTTTGGATTGTTGATTGTTGTAATGAACTTTGAACAGTGTTAAACTTTTCTTGTAATTCAGTAATTTGGTTTTCATATTGATGTATTAAAGATTGATAATTTGCATCATTTTGTTTTGATTTCTGAACTACTGTGACTAACTGGTTCTTTAAATCACATATTTCTTTTTGACAACGTAATAATTCGCCCATTTTTAATTCGTATTGTTCCATTAATTGATCACGTTCTGATGAATCACCAGGATTTCCTATTGAATTGCTATTTTGCTGCCCAGAAGAAGGCTTATATCCTGAGTATTCATAGCTGGCACTCATAGTGCACGTTTAAAAATTCGCGCCAGATTTTAAACGAAAATCTATGATTAAATTAAGTTATTGCATATGCATTCTTAACCAATATATGTACGGATAATCAGCTTCTTTTGAGTTTATTTGTAGATTTGATAGGCAAAATATTTAAAATTGATGAATATTGAGATAATGAACAGATAAATGATCGGTAAAGTGGTATGGAATTAAATTGGAAATTCTCTTAAACTTACAATTTTTATAAATGTCTGAAGAAATAATCCCTTCCGTTACTACTAAATCAGGCGATACAGGATACGGTTTGCCTCGCTCTGGAAAGAAACTTCTCAAGGATGATGTCATCTTTGACTTAATTGGTACACTTGATGAACTTAATTCTAATATTGGATTGTCAATATGTGAGGCAGACCCAATATTAAAGAAACAATTCACAAAAATTCAGATAATGTTGTTTGAAGTTAGCGGATTTGTTGCCATGAATAAACCATTTTCTGAAAAATCCAAATCCTATACGCAAAAACTTGAAAAATGGGCATATAATTTAGAGAAACCCCTTCCACCTCTAGATTCATTTATTTTGCCAGGTGGTCATGTAACTGGTGCCAGGATCCATGTGACAAGAACTGTTTGTAGACGATGTGAAAGATCTGCAGTCACATTTATTCATAATTCAACAGAAATAAGCCAAGATGATAGTAAGTTATTGATTCAATTCTTGAATCGATTATCAGATTATCTATTTTGTGCTGCAAGATACCAAAATTTCACACAGAATGTTCCTGAAACAAAATGGCTACCATAAAAATATTATAAATAAAGAATATTGATAAATATGAAGACGAAAAAAGAAAAAAAAAATTAATTTATTAATTGAAAAATTAGTAATAATCTCATGATTTTATTGATTTATTCAGATTCATCATTCAAAATGTTAGTTTCAAAGAATTTGATTAAGAGTTCTGGGAATTGTGCGCGTGCAGTTGGAAGAGGTACTTGTTTTGTCTTTCCTTCTTTAAGTTTAACATTAAAGTTTGGAACGCCTTCGATAATTGAGCATCCAACAATTTCTCGGACGTGCAATTCTTCTGGAGGTTGGGGAGCTTCTTTCTTAGATTTTCTTGGCTTTGGATTTGTAGCCTTTGGCTTTTTTTCCTTTGCCTCTTCATCATCTCCTTTCTTTCCTTTCTTCTGCGATTTTTTGTCTTTTGTTTCCTTCTTGCCTGCTTTTTCAGCTTTCTTCTTATCCTTTTTCTCCTCTACGGCCTCTTCTGATTCTTCCTTGCTCTCCTCCTTTTCGCTTTCCTTTTCAGATTCTTTTTCTTCTTCCTTATCTGAAGCTTCTTCTACCTTGGATTCCTTAGTTGATTTTTCTTTTTGCTCAGACTTCTGTTCCTTTCCCTTTGTAGATTCTTTTTTGTTATTTTCTTTGTTTTCATTTTCCGATTCATTTTCGCTAGATTTGCCAATATCAATATGTAATTCTTCTTTTGATTCTGATCCATTATTCTCCGTGGAATGTTCACTGGAAGACATTAGTTTTTTTTTTTTTTTTTTTTTTTTTTTTTCAAAAAAATATTTTATGGTGAAAGGATATGATTTGTTATCTATAGTGTTAAAAAATATCCAATGCTCATTTTTGCCTAGGGCTATCGGCCAAAATGAAAAACAACGGAAAACCATAAATTAAATACGAAATTAGAAAACACCATAATGTATAAAAACTTATTATCAGGAAAATGTGTTTGGTAAAAAGAATAATTATTTCATCTCAGTTTTATCTAACGGTTTGATAGTGCAATACTTCTGGATTCTACTAGGTTCTCGATGTATATTGCAAGACTTGCAAATAATGTTTGTTCGGCCATTTGGTATTTCAACTTCTTGATCAAGAATTAGAAAGTTATTTATAAAACTGGATTTTTAGATGAATTCTGGATCATTTGTGTTGATTACTATTCAATCCTAATAGCTTAGTGTTCTTTGTTATAAATTTCACTTTTTCGGTATCGTTTTTTCCGAAAAAAAAAATCAGAAATGGGTGCTGGAGCAAGCCGTAATAGGGAATTCAACGATTCAAGCATAAAGAAGTTAGCTGAAGAGAAGTTAGTTGTTGATGCTAAATTTACAATCAAACAAATTAACGCCCTTAAAACTGTATATTTCAGACTTCGAGATTTAATCAATGAAAAAAGTGTACTAACAACGGAAGACTTTTCAGAAATTCTAGGTCTAGGTAGCCCTGAAATTGCACGACTAGTTTTCAATTTTTATAAAAAGAAAGATAAAAATCTTAACCCAACCATAACAGTTCCGAAATTTGATATGTTTGAAGAACGATACAATAACATTCTTGTTAGATCAGGAGAAGGACTTCCTCAATTTTCTGCATTTGTTTTGACAATCGCTCACCTTTGTACGAAAGATCCTGAGGAATCTATTAATGTATGCTTTGAACTGTATAGTAGAGATGGAGTCATGTATCAGGATCAATTTGTTGAAATTATCAAAGCATCTGTTACTAAATCATCATTAATGCCTAATTTTCCAAATGCTAAGATAGAAAAACTGTCAAATCAGTTGTTTGATGAATACAATAATGATGGAAACCTTCAATTAGATCGAGACGAGTTTAGAGCCTTAGTTCACAATGCTCCTGGTATTATTGATTCAATTCAGCCTAACATTGCTGCTTTAAACGATCCTGACTCCATTAACTGAAAAGATTCAAAAATTATTTTTGTTATTTTTTGTTTTTATGATCTTTTTGTAAATGTTTTTGTATATTACTCGTGGTTAAATATACATTTTTCTAAAACATTATCTGATAAACAAAGATATCAAAAATTCAATTGATATTTTCCGATTTCATGTTCTTTTTTCCATAAACAATCAATATATTGATAATTTTTATATGTTTTGATTGTGTTTATTTATCATTTTTTATGTTTGTTTTATTTGAAAGTTTATCAGTTTCGAGAACTCAATTTCTCAAGCCATCACCAACAAGATATAAGTGGGATGATACAGTACTATTATATGCTGGACCTCTGAGATCGCCAACAAACTTGATTTCTTACGATTATACTTATAACGATCTATTTCCGCAGACAAAAATGATAGAGGAGAAAACTACTATTTTAGATCCCCTTATGGGAAGATCATTCATGAAAATTCCTTTCAATTTAACACTCGGAAATAATGAAAGATGCAAAACATTTTCCAAAATGGAAATCAACCAATCTAAATATTCATATTACTACTACCTCATTGAAAACAACTATGAGAAATCACTAATTATTGATAATTTACCATTTTTATCAAGAAATTCCAAGAATGTTTCTGTTCCTAATTATGCAATTGGCTACATTGGTGTTTTAGATTCAAAGAATTTCGTTGATTCCAAAGAAATCCATTTAATTAATCATTTTGATTTTACAATTGTACTGAACCCCGAATCCAACAAGACATATACCATTGCAGAAGCATATCTTAAACCTTATATTATTGATCCTTGCTCTAAAAACAATCCTTCCGCACTTGCAGATATGAAAGAAGATATAGTTTCATATTCTGTCGAATGGATTATACAGGAAAAGGCTCCACATAATAGATATTACAATGTTTATTCCAATTCTCGCACAATTTCAGGCTACAAATCTCATAATTATATTTTCTTAATAGAGTTCTTTATTATTGTTTTCTTCCCATTCTTGTTCACATACATTATCAAATACGATGTTTACTTCTACAAAAATGTCTTTTCTACCCTCGACGAAGAAGTTGCTGGTTGGGAAGTGATTTCAGGCGATGTCTTCCGTATTCCAGACGAGATAACAAACTACTCATATTTCATTGCCCCTGGAATTCGATTTGGCCTTGATTTCCTTTTAATTTTCTCGATATGTATTTTTAATGTTGTTACACCTGCAAATACAGATCTGTTTTGGTTACTATTGTTAATAATCGACTTCATATCATCGTTTATTGGTGGTTTTGTCTCAGGAGCGCACTTCAAACAGTTCAATGGAAAAGATTCTGACATTTTCCATATTTATGTTTCATCTGTTCCATCAGTAATTGTTTTTATCCCTATATTACTCATGAATTTGATATTTACAGCTGAACATGCAACATCATCTATCCAAATGTCGTTGTTTTTGTTTGGATCGTTATTTATTGTTATTATTTCTGGCTGTTTCATGTATGTAGGAAGTATTTTTGGCTTCAAAGTTAAGAGACAAGAATATCCTCAAAGAATTAATTTAATTCCAAGACAAATTCCTCATTCAAAGCTTAAGTATATTATATTTGTTTGTGGCGGATTCCTTATTGCTCTTTCTTTGTATGTTTACCAATCTTCAGTCAAATCTGCAATATTCTGTGATTTGTCGTTATTCAAACTCTTCCCAGACCTTGCAGAAATGGCATTTGTTTTGATTTGCTCATCAATGGTCGTTACTGTTCTTTCTGTTTATTTAATTTTGAAATGTGAAGATTATTGGTGGTGGAAGTTCTCAATGTACACGTCATTACTTAGTGGTTTATTCTATATTATGTTTGATATGTACTTCTTCTTCAGAAAGATGTTGAAACTGTCTTTTTCAACAAAATTATTGTTCTTGATAATTACTTTCTCTTCTGGCGCCTTAGTATCTGTTATTTCGGCCGCTTTCGGATTTATTGCATCGTATTTTGCCATAAAATATATGTACACACAGTTTGATGGCAAATAATAATCTTTATATTATTTAGATTGTATTGTTAAGATAAAAAATACGCTTAAAAATTATTTTATGTCATAATTTAACATAGATTCACAAGTAAAAAAGAAAAATTTAAAAAATTATATTTTATTAAAACATTATATTTTAAAATACATCTTCTTCCTCGCTTACAAAACGAGAAAGTAGATGCTTGACGCTTATTTCAATTCTTGGCGTTAATTTTTCTGGATCTTCCAAAATTGATTCCAATCTGTCAACTATATCGTGTTCTAGTAGAGCGTTATTGACAAAGTCGGAATTCATCTTTTGTGATTCAAAAATATCAATAAGAAAACGAAAATCTTTTTCATCTTCAGTTATACAAAGAATTTCTAAGTAATTATCAACTATATCATCTATAAATACTCTTTCAATGATCTTTGATGAGTTCAAATAGCAAATTTTTGCAAATAAAAATGCAATTTCTGTTTTTGATTGAAAAGTAGACTGTTGAAGTGTGTTTGCCATAAGTTCTGGTAGTTCAAGTGAATTAATAATATCTATACTTACGATTCGTGATCTTCCTATGTAATTTGTCAAAAATATCAAAGCGTAAGGAGTAACATCAGGATGATTGCTTTCAATCATATCCTTAATGATGTTGAAATCAAATTTTTCAAGTAAATCAGATATTTTCTTTGTTTCTGATTGAGATAAAATTGATAAAATTGTTAAACAGATATTTGTGATTGCGACATCATGGCATTGATGTATCAAATAGTCTAGGCATATGATGAATCTCTTTGGAATGTTAAAATCAAACTTCTTTATGTTATTTTTTGTAAAAATATAATAAAAGCACCAAACAATGTTTGTTGAAACAGGACTCTCTTTCAAAATAGCTTCTGATAGATAGAACAATATTCTTTTTGGATCTTCAAACGAATCAATTGGTGTTTTTCTAAAAATTGAAATTAATAAAAAGGAATAATGGAAAAACTTTTGATGATGTTTGTTCCAATAGTTAACATCCCCTAGTCTCTGTGCATATAGATATACAAAAGGCTTTGCAAAGACTTCAAAATAAGAAAATAAATTATAGAGCATAGGAATAATGCTTGATGATGCGGTCAAATCATCTTTCATACGCCATATAGTTACAATGTTATCACTAACATTTGGATTTCCTCCTTGAAACAATTGACAAAATTTCACGCTATGATAAGTTAAATTTGTCATGAGATCAAATAAAAATAAGCTTTTTGACTCTTGTGCTTGAGAAGTATTAGTCAAAAATATCATGATTTGCTTCAATTTTACTCTAAAATTATTATAAATGAAGTCAATATCAGTACAATTGCTGTTTGAATAGTGTTTTGTGAGTAGTAGCATCAAATCAATCATTGTTGTTGCATCATTTGAGAGGCAAGCTTGGTATAAGTTGATAAATGTATTTGCAATTTCAGATTTCGAGAGATTTATTACTTCCTCTTGAGCCTCTTCTTCATCTTGTTGGATTTCCATCAAACTCTGCCTCATTACATCTTTAAAATTGATACTTGTAAATTTAAATATTTCTTCTTTTTCCATTTATAATTAAAAAAAAGTTTATAAAAGGTTATATATATATAAAAATGTTTAGAGATCAGACAAAAAATCATTTACCAGCCAAGCCCGCTGCGATGGATAATTTTGGTCCATCTGCTGGTTTGTTCTCTTCAATATCTTTTTCTACTTTTCCGAGAGCTCCTGCTATAGAAAGATTTGGCTTTGGCTCTTCAGGCTTTTTCTCTTCAGCAGCCTTATCAAGTGCACCTTCCAATGTCAAGTCTGGTGCTGCAGCAGCTTCTTCAGCCTCCTTCTTCTCTTCCTCCGCCTTAGATTCAGCGGCTCTTTCGAGAGAAGCGCCGATACCACCGAGGAGTGATGTCTTTGGCTTTTCTTCTTCCTTCTTTTCTTCTTCAGCCTTAGATTCAGCAGCCTTATCAAGGGCGGCGCCAATTCCACCGAGAAGAGAAGTCTTTGGTTGTTCTGCTTCCTTCTTCTCTTCTTCCTCCTTCTTTGCTGCTTCTTCAGCTTCCTTCTTTTCTTCCTCAGCCTTTGTATCAGCCGCTCTCTCAATAGCCTCGTTAACTTGGCCCTGGACATTGAGTGGCTTTTCTTCAGCTTCCTTCTTTTCTTCTTCAGCCTTTTCATCAGCCGCTCTTTCTAAGGCTTCATTGATTTCGCCCTGGACATTGAGTGGCTTTTCTTCTTCCTTTGGTGGTTCATATGCAGCATCTTCAATTGCATCCTTGATGTCTAATTTCTCTTCTGGCTTTCCTTCTTCATCTTTGACGATTGCGTCTTCAGCCTTTTCTGCTGCATCTTGCATTTTACCAGCAATATCGAGTTCTCTCATCTTTGCTTCTTCTTCGGCCTTCTTCTTTGCAGCTTCCTTTTCTTCAGCTTTCTTTCTAGCGGCTTCTTCCTCTTCCGCCTTCTTCTTAGCTGCCTCTTCCTCGGCCTTCTTCTTTGCCTCTTCTTCAGCTTTCTTCTTTGCTTCTTCTTCGGCCTTCTTCTTGGCTTCTTCCTCTTCTGCCTGGCGCTTCTCCTCTTCTTCCTTCTCCTTCTTGGCGCGTTCTGCTGCTTCATCGAGTTTGCCCTTGAGAGAAAGTCCGCCCTTTTCTTCAGCTGCTTCCTTCTTCTCTTCCTCGGCCTTTTCATCCTTGGCGCGTTCAACGGCTTCTCCGACTTCTCCTGCAAGAGAAAGAGACTTCTCTTGTGGCTGTTCTGCTGGCTGAGCTGCCTTTTCTGCTGCTTCCTTTTCTGCTTCTGCCTGCTGTTGCTGTTCTTCGTCGCCACCGATGATGACACGCTTTTCTTCTGTGCCTTGGTCGATCTTGCCTTCGAGAGCGTTCTGGAACTCCTTCTCGATCTGTGCTGGATCGAATGGTGTCTCTGCAGCCTTTCCTTCGTCCTTGTTTGCCTGTGACTGGGCCTGTTTGTTTCTCATCTTCTGTTCCTTGAGATACTGATCGTAGTTCTTGACTCTCTTAGCTTCTCTGCTGAGCATGGACATGAAGTTCGACTTCTCGTTCGCGTTGAGTGGCTGTCTGAGGCTCTCGTTGAGCTGGAGAAGCATGGCTGTGCCGTTTGCGCTGCCGGCAACGATGAGTTCACCGGAGTTATCGACGGCCATTGTGCGGATAGCGCTGTCTGAGGCTTGGATGCTGCAGACAGGTGCTGTGAGGGAAAGATTGATATCCCAAGCTTCGATTGTTCCGACGTTGTTGGCTGTAAAGATGACGGATGTTCTGCCGTTGCCCCAAACAGCGTTTGTAAGGTAGCGTGGTTGGGAAGGAAGGCAGATAAGAGGTGTCTTGTTGTCTTCTGTGTAAACTCTGACTGTCCAGTCGGAGGCTGTAAGGAAGTACTTTGTTTCTGTTGGATGACGACGAACAGAGTAGATTGGACCGTAGTGGTTTGAATATACGCCTGAAATACGCTGGCTTGGATCAGAAGCCTTACGGTTAACCATCATGACGAGGCCTTCGTTTGTGCCAACCATGTACTTTGTTGGGACACCTGTATGGTAATCGATAGCTGTACCGCCAAATGGAGGAGCAAAGCCTTGTGGAAGAAGATCTTGGTTCGGCTCGAGCTGAACAACTTCTATTGGCTTTGTTTCCTTACGTGTGTCCCATGTCATTGTTGTGCCGTCTAATGAAGTAGATACGCACTCGAATGCAGTCTTGGATGAGATCCATTTGACTGAGTGGACAGCTCCGCGGTGGGAGTGCTCGATGGCGCTTGTCCAAATTGGAACAGAGCCTGATCTAACATCCCAAAGAGAAATTGTACCGTGGGCCATACCACCAACAAGGAAGTTGTAATCCTTAGCGTTGTATTCGAGGCAGAGAAGTGGTGACGGTGGATGAATTTCCATTTCTGGAACGCTGATGCAATCAAGGTTATAAATGAAGCTTTCGTAATGAGCATTTGGATTTGTAAGGTCATTTGGTGTATAGCATATTGCGATGCGCTTTGTGGACTGTGTATCTTGCCATGAAAGAGAAGAAACATATCTATCTGGGAACTTATCGCGAATGATAGAAAGTGTTGCAATTGATGGATCTTGGATAGCTGTAGGAGCTTGTAAATGTGGGAAGTGATCTGTAAAGAGGTCGATAGAGTTGTTTAATTTGGCTGTAGCTTCAACCTGGGCAGCAAGCTCTCTAATTTGCTTGACAGTGTTTGGATATCTGTCAACTCTGTTTCTATGATTCTTGCAAGAGCTTGGATCCGTTGGATCAACGCCTGGTGGCCATGAGCCTTCTGTATGAACAACTTCTTGCTGTTTAATTTGCGTAACTTCTGTATTTATTGTGTGCTGTGAATATGTTAATGCAGTTTGTGTTTCGACTGTGAATGGGTTAATATCTGCAAAATTAGCACGAAGTTTTGGATCTGGAGGAATTGCAAAGACGGATTTTGTGGACACTTCCACGTTGAGTGGACGGCCGAAGTGGCTACGCCACGTCTTGTACGTGAATGTATCAGAGTTCGACATGGGAATATGTAACGGTTGAAACCGTTTTTATTTGTATTGATATACGTTTTTTGGATGTTTCAAGTGCTACTTTATTTTTGGATTCGTTAGTATTCGATTTTTATAACGAGCACGAGCTACTTTCTCAAATGATCTTAGATTTAACTCAAAAACACATGTGAAGAAATGAATCTTCAAATTCGAAACTTAGAATTTGATTATGGTCTTTCCAATATCATAGGCATAGTTCATGGGTATAATATATTACTAACAAATGAGAAAACTTAAAAATTAGAAATATAACGATTTTTATTGGTCTTTGAAAATAAGAGAATTTGAATGTTCTAACTATCTATCTTGGTATATTTCATGGTGGAACAGAATATTATTAGAGTTTGAATGTTTAATGAAATAGATATAACAGAATTTGTGCTGATCTTATTGCTGACCTTAATTTTATGCCATCTTAAAAGTATAAATTCATAATTCATGGCATGGCTAATAGAATGAATATGGAAAATAGGTTGAATAAAGTGTATTTGAAATTTTATAAAATATTAAGTCTCAAGCAACTAAATTTCGATTGCATGCTAATTTGGTTGTTCACATCTAGATTCCAAAAGTATAATCATCAGGGGTAGTTAAGATAAAAAAGATGACGAAAATCGTGTTTTCTTTTGAATTTTTTGATCATCATTCAATTTAACGTCCACTAAATTTTAATAAAATTTATTGAGCTAAAAATATGATAATTGTGTTCCGCTTCATTCCATTATTAAATAATTATTATTAATTTCAAAATAATTTTTCAATTTATAAAAAAATGCTTCCGATCATTGTAATGGTTCCAAAAGGACAACCTCTTGGTCTGAAGCACATTGATTACTCAATCCCTCCATCAAACAAATCTTACACTCGAAAAAGACAACTTCCTTTCTATGATTCTTCGGATATCGAAATAGATTTTGATGAAGAAGAAGCAAAAATCCTTGAAAAGGAACTTACTCCGCCACCTCCTCCACCAGAGAAGAAAAAATCGCATAGATCTGATAGTAGTTCTCGAAGTGTACGATCTCAAAGTTCAAAACACTCTAAAAAATCACTTGAATCTGAAAGCCCAGCTCAAAAGCCAAAATTAATATACGATAGTATGTCAGTTACATCCGCAAAAACAGTTTCAAGTAGACAATACAATGGACCTTCTGTTTTCTCATCTGACAAAACGCATACAAAAGTATATAAGCAGCAAGTGGCAGAGGATGTTGAAGAAGTAGCGTCTCTAAGAAAGAAACGCGCAAGTTCTGTTAAAAATATTCCAATGACTTATGATCCAGAATCAAAACCTGCGTCATTAAGCGCTAAACTTAATAGACTAAAAGATAAAACAGCAGAATCTGAAGCAGGACGTCGTCATAAAAGTTCAAGTAAAAATAATCAACAGTTAGCATCGAAATCGCCTGAGAAAACTGAAAATAAAGATTCCTCTAAAAATACGAAATCAGAAGTACCAAAAATGTCGAATTTAAATACTCAAGATCCAAATACTCAGGAATATGTTCCTGGATCAGTCGCACCACTTAGGAGAAGATCTAGGGCATCTTCAGTTCGTTCAACTGCATCTTCAAAGAAAAACGATCAAAATAGCGAAATTCCTAAGGTAGAATTTAATACAATACAACCAGAAGAACCTCCAGCAAGAAGAAAACGATCATCTAGTTCTACTTCCCGTAAAAAGACAGAAAATCCACAAAATAATCAGGAAAATACTAATATTATTTCAAGAGATATTACTATAGACTCCGAAAAATCAAGTACACCCAGATCAGCTCGTACAAAGAAGATTAAATCACCAGAAAATGATAAAAAAGCTGAAATTCCAAATGATCATCCAATTTCAGAAATTCCGCCAACTCAGAGGAGAAGAAGACGTTCTAGTTCCATCAAACCAGAAAATTCTAAAGAGCAGCAAATGCCAGAAGTTCAATCTGAATCTCCTAAGAGAAAACAACATTCCAAAGACTTGGCTGGCTCTCAGACTTCATCGCCACAAAATTCCCCTACTCGTAGAGTTAAAAAAGTCCTTAAACAACCAGAACCAGAAATTATTAAAACCGTTGAACCCGAGAAACCACATAGAAAGCGCAAAGATAACTCCCCTATACAGACAATTGACCCAGATTATGAACCAGATATTCCTAAAGTTAATATTAGAAGATCTAGGAATTCTAAGACAAATGTCCCTCCACTGGATGCAGCTCCTGTAGAAAAACCATTAGTAATTCAACCAAGAAAGCGCAGACGTTCAAGTACAACTTCAACTCAAGAATTATCTCAAAATTCTCCAAAACCAGTTGAAGAAAAATCACCAAAACAGGAGTCAACAGAACCAAAATCACCCTCTAGTTCTCATTCAAAGCGCTCCCTTAAGAAGAAACAAGTTAATTCACCTGATCAAGAGCAAAAACAAGATTCTAAAGCAACCAAGTTGGAACTTGCTGCTCCAGAACATCAGATCAGTATTCCTGTTACTCCTACACCTCCTCCAGAGTTAGATGTTTCTCCTTCAACAACAATTGTCGTTGTAACGAACAAGGAGGATAAAAAAGAAAAGGTTCCTGCTCCAGAGTTAGCAACAATGTCCACAAGCCCTGCTTTGCAAAAATCTGTTGAAGAATCTGAAGAGGAAGAAGAAACACCTTACGTAAACCCATATGATGAGCTTTGTAAAGGTCCTAGACCAAGACGTATCTCTGCTGATGATTTGTTCTTTGCAATTCTTGACGACTCGGATTAATTTTATTATTTTGTTTTTTATTTATGTTTTTTAAATATTATTTGCTAAAATGTTTCGATAACTGTCATTTCAAACGTGTTTCAAGGTACAACTTCATAATTATATCATTTCAAACTTAAAAATATAGTTCGGAATGTAATTTTGAAGAATGATCACTTTCTAAATTCTTTTTTATGAGAAGTTCACCAACACGAATCACTGAAATTTCATTCAATAAAAGTTGGATATTTATTTTGTACGCATTGTCAGGCCAGAAGTGTTTGAAATGCTTGTTTCACCTTGAGATCATGGGATCCTAGCGGTTGAATTTGCTGTAATGTAAATTGAATCTAAATCTAATATTTCATAAAGAGAGTTGTACTCTAGGGAATAGGATTCTGGTTTTTAAAAATATTTTGTTAGTATTTTTAGTTTAAATTTTTAAAGTTTAGAAGGTAAACAATTTAAATATAAGTATGCGTTTATGAAATATATATATAATAAAAAAGATTTCAGCAATTTAGTAGTTCTCCTCACTTATCCATGCGAATCTCCAAAGAAGGGATGAGATGATGATGAGGATTGTCTGAACTATTGAAGCAATGCCAAGATACTGCTTGACTTTTGTTGGTTTGAAGCCTGGATAGTTTGTATCTAAATAGCCCTTCTTATTCCAATGAGCGAAGACCCAAATTGTCATGATAAGACCAGCGAGATGTAACATAATTGAAATAACAATAAGAATCTTTTGCCAAACTGGAGTTTCTTCAGCACCCCAGGCGTCACCACTTTCGAAGAGTGGGTTTGGAAGGTTGTTGAGAAGGAATAAGCCAACGGTTGCTAAAATACCTGGAAGATAAAATACGAAGTTTCCTGCGCCTTCACCAGCGTGGTCATGGAATGCAGCAGCATCAATGAAGATCCACCAGGCTACAGCGAAGAGAAAACCTACAATACCTGAGACAATTAAATTGGATGTCTTTCCCATTTATAAAAAACCGTTCCTTTTATTTCCGGTGAAAATTTTGTGATGATCTTTTTAATATAGCGAAATTCATATATCATGCTTGTCAAATGAAACGACATAATTTTTCATCAGAAAAACTGTCTCTTTTTTGAGAATTTTTCAAAAAAAAATTTTGAATTTTGGGTTGGAAATTTATCTTAATTTTTTGAAACTGAGGTTGGAGAGTATCTTCACCGAATTCCACCCGATTCATTATATTGAGATTAGAAAGCTGAATCAGGATTTGATGATATTGTGAATCTCTCACTGACGACTTTTTTTGAAACTGTTTTAATAAAGTCGTTATTGCTGTCCCTATGGATATGTGCATGTAAGAGGATTGAAAAAAAAGAGTCGACTAGCTTCTTCTGGACTTTTGAGTTATGGCATTGAAATAATTCTATGTGTGAATAGAAAAAAAATACTAAAAAAATGATTGAAACAGGAATGAAACAAGTAATTTTCAACAGCAACAACATTAAGCAGACCCGAAAAAACTAAAATTCTTAGAATTTGATGCTTTTTCAACAATCAATTTCGAAAATCTTCGACACTTGGCAAATAACTGCTTAAAGTAATTCACAATTGAATACTTCTCAACAAATTCCTTAAACGTTTGACTATTTTGAAATTTATTTAATTTTCTTTATTCCTTCCTTTTAGATTAGAGCTTATACACAACTTCTACTCAAAATATAAGGTTTGTGTAGAGAAAACATACATTTAGATAAATTCTTAGTTTTGATTCTATGGTTTTAACGAATTTGATAAAACTTATCTGTATTTAATTCCATCTCCTAATGCTAATTTCATATCACATATGTAGATTTAAATTTCATCATTTCAGATTTGATTGAATAGATTTGAACATAATATAGAGATTTGTATTAGGATTGTATTTCTTGGGATAGATTTGGGTTGGTTTGTTTGTATGGACTAAAATTCAATGGAGAAACATCGAGTTTTTTTTCGATTTTTTTGGCAGAAAAAAAATGTATGAAGGTCAGTATCAAGAACTTGTAAAGTACGTTCCTATAAATGCCAACTCTTTATTGCTATCGTGTAAAAAACAGATGGAAACAAATAGAAACGCAATTTTACTTAAATCCAGATCAATTACAATTTATCATGTGCAAAACTACATTTCTCTTTTGAAAAAACCGAAGAATTCGATAGAATTTAATCTTTTCCCCAAGTTTTCGTCTATCTTTCTCGGTATTTCTCAAATTTCACAGAACGCCTCTTTTATTCTTTCTTATTTACTTAAAAACATGGATAGTTTCGCTAATATTATTATTAAATCATATAGTACAGTTAATTTTCTACCACTAGTTCATCAAATTCTCCCTGCTCTTTTTGGATATTATTCATCTTACGAACAACTTGAATTAGCGACGCAACTCTATACGAAAGTCATTGAAACTGCACCTTCCAAGCTCATTGTTGAGCTTTTATTCCCTTTACTTAACTCAAGCGTTACTTTTCGTTTTGTTGAGCAAGCAATGACGAGTTATTACGATAATTTTACAGGAAATTTCGAATTCATTAAAGAATCCGATGCCAAAAACTTCGGAACTTCATTTGGTTTCCTTTTGATTCAATCTGCAATTTCTTCATTACCTTTGTTGCCATCTCAAGTTCTAAACTTATTAAAACAATTTTTCAACGCAACTACAAAGAAAGATGACTTCACAAATCTATTTTTGAAACATTTCATTTTTTATCAAGCCCAATTATGGCTAAATCACCTCTTCGTGCAAGTATCACCTTCTCTTATGATGATTGTTTTCAATGAAGCCATTAACATGAAAACTGAAATTGGAAAATTATTTGAAAGTTTAATGTCAACGGAAAGTGTATATGATTTGACGAAGTTTTATACAAAGGATGGTATTGCGACACCTGCAGTTGTGTTTTCTGTTAGCGAAATCATACAATGCGCTACAATTTTAGACAAATTAAATTTTCTTCCTTCTTCTATCTCGTTATCCGAGTTTACTTCAATTAGTCAGGGTGTTTATAACAATATTGTATTGTGTCAGTTCTTTTTACCTCCTAATTTCCAAGTAAAAGACGAAATTTCTTTAGATCCACTGATTTTCTCAAAATCAATGGTAAATATACCAGAGAATGACGAATTCAAGAATCCTGATGTCCTTGCAATGCGTCTGCATGCATTAGAAGTGAAATTCAAGGATTCAGAGAAAAATAGTATTTTTAATTTCATTGAAACGATGGATCGGGGCAAAGAAGAGCTTAAAGAGTTTGCATACAAAAAGTACTTAGAGAATTTATCAGATTGTGGCCAGATTTTTGAGAAATTCATGAGAATTGAAAGGAAGAATCAAATGATCATTGATTTTTCAGAAATTATCACATTTTATGAGGAAATCATCTATAATAATTATATCGATAAGAAGTATTCCGCTCCAGATGCCGTTCTTACTGAAATTTCCAGCAAAATTTCCTCAATAGGTCTTAAAAAACACGCAATTCTCGCTGCTTCAGAGACCTACATCAAGAAGAACTTCGAGAGTGAGCAGATGATCCTCAACCAAGTCGATCTCCGCTTCAACGACCTGATTTTGAACAAATACGTCGTAGAAAGAAAAAGGCCATTGTTCAAAGGAAAGGTTTTGAAGCAGTGCATCTCACAGCTGAGGGGATTGGATAGATGTACCCTTTATTTGTCATTTAATAAGCTTATGAAAATTATATCGATACTCTCAGTTTTCGAAGATTACAATGATTCTCTTGAATTATTCCCTCAACTCATCGATATGACAGGGGAAAATCACTTTTTATCAAAGGTCATCACACTTAATGTTGTTGCTATGAAAAATTATTTGATTTTACCCAATTTTTCTCAAGATGAAATATCGAAATGGAATTTCCTCGAAAAGTTGTTATACGACATCGTCAAAATCGACAAATGGTTGTCCGATGCAATCTTACAGACGCAAGAGCTTCTCACAATGCGAATGGAGTATTTCGTTGTATAATTTATGTCGAGGAATTTATCGTCCAAGGTCGGAAATTAATAGATATTTGATGTGTAAATCTAATATCTATATCGATTTCGCGATCCGAAATATAGATTATCCATCATGTATGATCAGCCAAATAATGTCTCAAAAATTGAATTGTCGTATTATCATCCACCTTGATAATATGTTATAGAACTCAGTTCAAGCACCCCAGCGATGAAGAGATCAGCCCGAAAAAGTCATTTTTTATTTGATTTCTTAAGGGAGGCTTCCGACCAGAAAGCCCTCTCAATTTTTTGTGATGTTTACACCAAAAGTGAGATTCGTTAAGCGTTTTTCTCGTTGAATATTGAGTTTCCCGGATTTTAAGTTATTCATAAAGCTTCTCTATATTATACCCTATCTACTGATATGATTATTTTTGAAAAATCTCTTAAATCGACCTGCACTGAATTTTATAGGGAAAATTCGAAATTTTCTAGGCGTTTTCTGCAACGTTTTTTTACGGAATAAAATCCAAAAAATAATTTTTTGAAGAATCATTTGGGTAGAATACTTATCGAAAATCATATTTATTATAATTTTGGTCGATAAAAATAAGCGGATTCAAAACTGGCAAAAACCCTTTCGGCAATTTGTGGACGATTCCGAACCCCCTCATTTTTGAAATTTAATAAGAAAAATAGAATCTTTATTAAATATAGATTTTTAAAAACTTGGTTATAAATTACGAAATTTTCTCACTTGGGCTAAAAAGTGACAATTTGGTCGGAAGCCACCCTTAATCAATTAGAGTGACTCTAAAAGCAGATTCGGAGGTAATTTTACGAATAAATATTATTGTTATGTTGAGATAAGTATGATGTATGCGTTTTTAACACCAGAAAATGCAATATAACATTTTTTGTGGGTTTGGCTCTGTTAAATTTTCCAAGAAAACTATCCTCATATATATGTTTAGATCATAAATGAGGTTCTATAATTAACTTCATGAGGCCATTTATTGTGATTATATAAAATTCTGCCAAAACTTGGTGTTCGTTGTTACTATGGAAAAGAAAGCTTTTTATCTCATATTTTTTGGATGAAGTGAAAATTCAATGTGAATAGAGGTTGTATTGAAATATTAAGTATTGAAAATAATTTTATTTTCGAAACCATTTGCCATTCTTCGCGAATGGAGGCCCAGAACCACCCAGAATCCAAGTCAACCAGACAAAAGTTCACAGCTGAAGAAGATGCACGCCTTATCGAACTTGTTCGTATCCACGGTAACAAGGCTTGGAAGAAGATTGCCTCAATAATGAAAACAAGAACAACCAGACAGTGCCGTGAGCGCTACATTAACTATCTTTCCCCAAGTGTCACAAACGGCCCATGGAGCGCACAGGAAGACTCTCTCCTTATTGAGAAAGTTCAGGAAATGGGTCCAAAATGGTCGAAGATTGCAAAATTCTTCCCATCCCGTTCCGATGTCAACATCAAAAACAGATACGCCCTCTTCGTATCAAAGGGTAGAGCTCCAGCTCTTCAGACACTTCCTCGTGAAAAACACGTTACTCCTGAAGCAAAAGTTCCTGAACAAATTCCTCAGCAATTTGTTACTCCAGTTAGTGGTACAGACTCTCCTGTTAGCAACTCTTCGGAGATGTCTATGGATGAATTACTAGACTCCCTCTGCAACGAAGAGGAAGATCAAGCCCAAGTTTCCTTCTCAGGAAGCGATCCAGAGGCAATCGATTGGAACGATAACTTCGACTTCTCAATTTTCTAAGCTCTGTTAAAATTTATTGTTTACTATTCAATTTTGAAAACTATTTCAGTACTATTGAATTGTTAAATCATTTGAATGAGATTTCTGTTCATTATCGAAATATAAATTTCATATATGAGTGAGGAGTAAGATTTTAAAAAATAAGATTTATATACTCTATCAAAAAAATATTAGTTCTCAAAAATTTAAAATAAATCGTAAAAACTTCTCAAAAGGACGATAATTAATCCCTCAAATATTTCAATTCTAAACCAATTAAGTTATTAAAATCTTGTGAAATATTTATCCCGGAATGAAAGCCTATCTATGAACAACTATGATCGGGGAAGTTATGGAGATGTTTTTCTAAAATAATTTTACTTTTTCAATGGTTTATTTTTAACACTAAATAAGAGTTGAATTTCCGGATAACAGGAATTGTCTGTATATTTATAATGCCAATGATTAGGTGATACCAAATATCAATATTATGGAATATAAAAAACTAATCATTTTTATTGGCATTTTTCAACCTCTGGATTTTTTAACTTTTCATGGTGAATCTATCCGCTTATAATATATGCATTCTGTTTCACTAATAACTTTGATAAATCTTTTGGCCACAAAAAAATCGACGCAAGACAAAATCGTGATCGATTAGCATAAATGGATTCTGGTTTCTCTTTAATCATTTTTCCTCATGAATTTGCGAATTTTTTGGATAAATTGAAATTTTCCAAATTATTTCTCATTATTTTTCACTATTGACACTAAATTATTTGTATTTGACTTAAATTATATCACATATTATAAAACTTGTTATAAAATTTGAAAGATTTTCTTATAAAATGACATTTGTTCTGATGCCGAATACAATTTAAAAGGTAATAAACATTACATTTACCTGTAAAACGTAAAATAAATTCATTCTATGGTTTTATTAACAAAATATCCTTTATCTTGCGAATTGTTACTAACATTCGGATAATAAACAGCAGTTTGTTAAATATATCATGTCACATAGATTCAAATATACCAGTTACATATCAAACGACATATAGAATTAAGTAGAATACTCGAATATCTGATAGGTATTATTAAAATTGATAAACTATCTCAATCATTTAAAATAAATCATCAACATTAGAATACTATTAGAGTTACCTTATCTTCTTGGGTTAATACTATCAATATCGAACATGGATGAAAAAAGCAAATTAAATTTGGTCATCAATAGTATAAAAGAGTATTCTCATGATATGTTATATCATAATGTGTTAATTTCATGTTCTAACTCTACATATGTTGGTTTGATAAGAATTGGATTCAGATTGTTTAGAGTTATTAGAACATGTGATGAAATCTACGAAGTAAAATTGAATCATTAGATGAAATCCATTGCTCTATATCTGTAATTAAAAGCTCTGGATGAGATATATTATGAATTCAGGTGCCATGATAAAAAAAAAATTTTGATAAAATAAAATTTTATTTGCTCAGCGAAAATGGATCGCTCTGAGCTATTTCAATCACAGAAAATTACTACCTACACTAATTTTCCGAGAAATGAAATAAAGAAGCTCAAGCGGAAATCAGGAGAAGAGAAAATTATGAAACAGTTAAGCAATATTGCTTTTCAAGTCGAAAATCTCCAAAAAGTTGCTACTTTTCCGGAATTTTCCCCATTCTACGAAGCGCATGAAAAGTTTCAGCGCGGTGTTACAGATATTATCGAAAATTCAATTAAGAAAATGGAAGAAGATAAAGATTACTTACTTGGTTCGTCTGAAGGTGCTATACTGATGAGACAGAATATAAAGATACTCCAGGACGAGTTAAATGTCGCATTAACGGATATTAAGCTTCGAAGGCAAACAATATTTGCAAATCATGTTGGAGCTTACATTAAGGCAGTACACGCTGAATTACATGATTACAAAGATAGAATTCAAAACGAGCCAATGTATCAAAATTCAATTCGTCCATTTTTACAATTGTATAATACAGATTTCAAGCAGCTTTACTCCCGGTTTACCCGCTTAATGACACCACTCGATTTTGAAAACATTCCTCAAAAAGTTGTTACGCACACTATTGAACAGCTAAAGCGGCTAACAGCTACATTAACTTCAACACTTATTCCTATGGTTAGCCATTCTCGTACCGCAAAATTGATTACAAGCATTTTTATTGAAAAATATAACGCACAGTTTATTCCTCTTATACATTCAATGAATAATGCTCCGTTATTTAATGAGAGAATTCGATTTTTAGATACCGCAATTGCTGACTTAATGACAGAATTTAATTTATATTTTTCAACTCTTCAAAAACAGAGGCCACAATCAGATTTTGCTAAGAAGCCACGCTCTCCATCGAAATCTCAAGTAGTTCGTTCTCAATCTTCCTTGGTTTCTAGTGAAAGAATTATTTCTTACACATTAGAATGCGAATTAGGAAAAACAAAAGACAAACTTGATGAAGCTCTATTAACAATTGCAAATATGAAGCAGCAAACTAAAAACCAAAAGGAGAATTTCCAAAGACTTGATGAAGTCCTAAATTTGATTTATTCTCGATTAAGACCTTTAGCAAAGAAGGATCCAACAAAGCCAGAAATGCAGACACTTGATAAAATATACAAAACAATCGGCCAAATTGAGCTAGAATTAGCAGATTTAGATTCAAAACACAAAAAAGCAGATTGGCTTCGAGAAAAGCTCATAAAAATTGGTCTTCTATTACACCAGAACGATGAAAATAAAGAAAAGCCTCGTTCTATGACAAACGAAGAACTTGTTGATGATATTTTATCTCATGTCGAAAATGGCTTCAGAAATAAAGTCAATAACATGTATCATGATTACCAAAATGATGTAGATCAAGAAAAGATAGCCGAAATGAGTGATGATGAAATGATTAAAGAATTAAAGTCAAAACTTGATGCTCTTCAAGGTTTGCACAACAATATCAGTAAGAATCTAGAAAAGATAGATCCTAATAATAAAGATTCTGATAAATTATCCAATAAAGAACTCGGCGAAAAACTTGATTCTGAAATTGAAAAATTGAAAGCAGAAATTGCTAAAGGAAATGATGTCAATGAAAAGATTCAATCAACCTATAAGCATGCAGGTGGAAATAAGGAAGAATCTCCATTAGACATGCTTAAATTTATAGATGATAAATTAGATAATGCTGATAAGATTGCTGATAAGATGCATGGCTTGCTCAAAGATAGAGGCTTAAATGAATCTGACTTAGAAGGCAAATCTCCTGATGAATTATTTGATTTAATTTCAAATTCGGCAAAAGAAGATCAAAAATTGAAAGATAAGCTCATGGACACTTACAAAGACTTAACCGGTAAAGATTTTGATTCTAAAAATCAGCCATTATCAGAAATTTTTGATAAAATATCTAATGTGGCGAAAGAAAACAAATCTCTTAGAGAAAAGCTAATTCAAATATACAGCATGTTAGGTGGTTCAAAGAAATCTGTTTCTGATAAGACAAACAACGAAATTGCAGATTTAATAATTGAAAAACTTAAAGAACTTACCGGTGAAATCAGAAAGATGTTTACCAATGATCCTGGTAGTTCTGTTGCTCCAGTTGACTTAATTAAAATGCTTTCCAGCAAAATGCCAAGAGTTAAATCTTATCACAAGCAACTTTCTGACATTCATGATTGTTTATGCAATAAAAATGGAAGTGATAGTGATGATAGTGAACATGATCTTGACGATGATGACCTTATTCGCGATATTCATGGTGAATGTGATAACATTTTAGCTCTTAGGAAGAAACTCATTGATTGCTATGTAGAAGGTAGCTCTGAGAAAGAATCTCAACAAGAGCTAAAGAATATCGCTTCTAAGTTGTCTAATTTAGAACTTGTTGATGAAATCTCCAAAAATTCCCAAGATAGGATCGATTCGATACATGCTCTCCAGGCGGCTCTCCCCAACGCCAAAGATCAGAATTCTTTCCCGCTATCGAAGAAAATAATTGCGGAAGTCGAAGAACTTCGAAAGCGGACGTCGCGGACCCATGATTCCATTGCCAATCTCGCTGATACCCTTTCGAAGTTGAAGGCCTTTCCAGAAATCAGCTGCTGCTCCGATGACGCCGATATCGTCAGTAGCGTTTCGAAGAATATCGGCGAAATATTAAATAATTCAAGTATTTTCCGGTGTATTCTTGAAGAGAAGTTCGTCAAACTTGGCGGACATCGCGATAAAATTCGTAATCTGGATGATGTGGGACTTCTAAAGGCCCTAATCAATCTCTATGATTCTATAAACTATAACCTTATCATGAAGATAAGGAAGAGATTGATTGAAATCATCAAAGATTACGAAAAATTAGATGGCGATGAGAATATAGACGAACTTCTTGAAATTATTGAAAGACTTCTCAAAAATAGACCTCAGAAAGTCGAAAGTCAAAAACCTCGTGTCAAAACAACTGAAAACTGCGCACAAACCGATCCGATTTCAAATGAATTGGAATCAAAGAGTATTAACGGTCTAAGAGAAGTTTTAATAAGGATCACAGGAAAGAAAGGTAGTACATTTGACAGAAAGGATGTTGATGAAATGCTCCAGATAGCGCTTCCAAAAATTGATGAAATTATTGGAGCAAATATCGATGGAACTTCAATTGTCTTTGAAAAGATCAAAGACCTATTGCCGCCAAATACAAATAGGAATCAATTCTTAGGAGTTTTAAGAGATATGGTCATCAAACGAAATAATACCAATGAAATGTGTCTGAAAATGGCAAAACATCTTACAGAAATTCTCAAAACTCTTTCAGTTGGTCATGACAATGTTGATTGTGAGTCATTATATAATCATGTCCAAGATTTGGTGAATGAATCAAATTATATTCTTCCAAATGAAGTCGAAAGTGACGTTCATGGACTCATCATTAACATGAATGATGCACTGATGAATTCTTCTACATTTTTAATCAGTTTGATGCAAAATTCAATTGGAAATTCCGAAATTACATCGAAGTACGATGAGAGCCTCAAGACAAACTTACTTCTATCAAAAGAAGTCTCAAAGATGAGAAAACTGATTGACGAAAAAGATGCTCAACTTAGTGTAGAAACAGAGAAGCTACAGACTGCGGAGAAAACATTCAGAAGTTTCGCAGAATCAAGTAGCGCTTTGTTAGAAAAAAGTGTCAGACAAGTAAGACAGCAATTTCTCGATGAAAAGTCAAAAGCCACCTCGAATCCAGAGCAATAGTTAACATTATCTATTCTTGTTTTACTTATATTTATAAAGTTTTGTTTGTATTTATTGCAATTAGCCCGAAATAAGTTGGAGAATTGATTTTTTACTGGTTGAATGTGTCACTAATTTTCGAAGCCAGCCACAATTGTGTCTATAATAAAAGCGATGATTTGAATATCTGAACTCCATGGAGATGATCATAAATTTGAAAGAAAGGGAAACATAAAAAGATTGAGACAATACACAATATAGAGTGATTTTGGAAAAAGAAATAACGTTCGAAATAAAATCGATAAGAATGTGAACTGTGAAGCAGAAAATGGCGATGTCAAAATAAATACTACTATAGGCACAATCGCATTTTAAATTTAATAAATATCGGAACTGTGAAAAATGAAAAACTGAAAAAAAAACCAACAATGTAACGTAATTTCATAATGATATCACAACTTGCAAAGTATCCTAATATTCTTGTCTATGAGTATAATAAATTAATTGAGGGAAAGTCGTTGGTTATTTTTTGAATGCACATTTTATGCCATTGTAAAATAGTTAGAAAATATGAAAGTGATATTGTTGGGAAATTGGTACCATTTAATTTCGATAATTGGTTTCAATTAATTGATCGTTGCACTCAATTTATGTTTTCATGGTGGAAAGAAATTTTAATTTAAGAAACTTAATTGTTGTTATAAAAACATGATATCACGTTTCTGTCAATCCAATATTAATAATTTTGCAAATTACCTCAGACTTTTCAGAGGATTGAGTGGCAACTCAATCCTCTGAAATAGTCTGTGGTAATTTTTAGTCTCTGCACTATTTCAATATAAGCTCCATTTTTAAACAGTTTTTAAAAATCGAGCATTGAAAAGTGTGATGAGACTCTAGATTTTAATAAAAATTCATAGAATACTTATATTTGGAATGATAGCAAATAGTCCAAATAATACTTGATTATAATGTAAAAGAAAAATAAATAAAATTAAAAATATTTTAAAAAAAATCTTTAAATGACTGGAATCTCGATTTTTGAATTTTCTTCTTTCCAAATTTCTTTTTTCCAAATTAGAAGTTTAATTCAAATTTTCAATAGTTTATATATTTTCTCAAACCGTCTTAGATTTTCTCACTTTTTAGGGATTTTCTCTCAAAATATACAACAATAGTAATACCAATACATGTGTCTAATATACTTTAAAACCATCGTGATAAAATTCAAAAACGAAGAGTTCTTCTCTCCAAATTTTTTTCAAAATCAAAAAAATGAGATAAAAAAGTACGTTTGGAAAATTCATTTTTAGCATTTTAGGAATTTTCTCACTTTTCTTCCAAATTGACATCCTTAATTTCAACCAAAATCACTTATTTTCATCTAAACGTATAAAATTGTCAATTTTATGAGAATAAATTTAAAATCTCATGAAATATAAAGGAGAGTAATATTTTTCAATTTTCTTTTTTTCTTTGTCTCAAATATTTTCTGTTGGGAATTTTCTTGTTATCAAAAAATAATTTTAATATTCCTTTTTATATAATTTTAAAAATTATTTTTATCGAATGGAAAATGGACCAAATCCGAACACTAATGAATCATTAATAGAACCGGTAGCTATCAACCCTAGCGATACACATCAATCAAGTTCGGATTTGAATGAAACTTCAACAACAAACAAAAACAGTTATCTTTCAGAATATTCTCAAGAGCAATATATATCAAAACCACGCGGCATTAGGACTAATATATCATTTACCGCTGATATGACATACGAAGATATATGTATTGCCCTCATCGAAGTATTTGCAAATTGCTATGATGAGGCTTGTGCAGAATCAACTGTTATATCTGACTACTTATCAGTTAGAGATTTACGAACGATAGTTAGAAACTTGAATCTATGTGATACATCCGACCTGTTTAATCAGAGGAAGCCATCTTTATGTTTTATGATCCAAAGCTTCTTAAATCAGCCATTTATGAAGCATCTTCATATTAGAAATACGACCCCTCCTCCTCAAGAAGAAAAATCGATCAATTTGACACAAATCGATTTTTTCATAAATAAAAAGGATGATGATGGCTCGCCTACTTCAGCTCAGTCACCAAAAATAGAATCACGTCAGGAGTTTACAGATTCAATAAAGGTTATTCGCTTCAAAAAGATTCCGACCCGTAATGTAGAAAGTCCGAAAACTATCCCTCCTCTTCAAGAAACGGTTCAAAAGGATGTGGAAAGTTCTCCTAAGGAAATACAACCAGTCCTTACCCCACCAGATATGAATCAACCCCTTCAAACAGTTCAAATGATACAAAAAATTAACTCATTAGTTACTCAAATGAATTTAAGGATATCCGAATTGGAAAAGGCTGTAGAACATTTGGTAACTAGGCTCGATGTAGTGGAAAAGATCTTCAAGGCAAATGAAATCAAACAAGAGCGCGAAACTAATGCAGAAAAGCCATTAATTATATAATAGAGACGATATATGTATTAATTATTACAAAATTTAATTACAAATTTGATATAAAAGTAGCTTGTTTGTATAAAAATTACGATTTACTTAATTTTATTCTTTTTCCATATAAAATACTATGCCAATCTAAAGGCTTACTTGTGAGTACCTGTATTCATTATAAGATGGACGCGGAAATGTGAATAATATTCGAATTACGACTCGGATCAGCAGATATTGGAAAATGACCTAATAAGAAAGTACATTTAAAATCACCTTACCATTCAACTCACTGAACTGAAGGAATATCGTCAAATATGATATGACATAATTAACGATAAGTGTAATTTGGTCATATAAGAAATGTGAAGGAATACATCTAAAAACATGAAAACAAGATGATTGCATCATACGTGAGCCAAAAATATAGCTCTTGAATGATTCTTGCACTTTGCCATAGGGATTTACCATTAATAATTCTGTATTATTAAGTATTTGATAATTTTAATGCTGTCAAATTTATCCAATAGAACAAAATCTTTATTCACACACCATTCTATTATCATCTATTGTACTTTAAAGCAATTTTAACTCATATTTTTCAAAAATGTATGTCTGTTACTCTCATTGCTTCACATTAAGAAGGAAACGCAATGTCTCTGTTTTAGTGTTATACTGTAATAAGTTATTTTCTCCATGTCCAATGAAAAAATAAGAAATGTTTTTGTAAACTCCAATTTGATAAATATTACATGTAAACTGAATGAGTTCAAGGATTTGTATATGAAGATTTCTTATGAAATACTTGAGTTAATGATATGATAGAAAAATTATACTATTATTGAAGATTTCTAGAATTACAATTGTTTAACTTTATACATCAAAAATTTGACCAAAATAATGTGATTCCCATTAAATAAAATCTTTGTTAAATCATTATATTAACTTTAAAATATGAATATATTTGGAAAATTTTCAAAAAAAATCATAAAACCAAATAATCCATTATCAAATTACCCAGATTTTCCTTACTTTTACCACTCCCCATGTAATTTCTGGGGAAAACGATAATTCATTTTTTTTATGGATGAATAGATCGTTTTCCTAGAAAGGACCTCATATCTCTGGCTAAAGAGAGTGTCAGATCCTAAATAGATTATTGATCTAGTGTACAAATCCAATAAAAAGCCTATTTTTTTGGCTTTTTTGGTGCTCATTTTTTCGAAGATCTACATGAATATGGGGAACCCATCGGATTTTTTTGGTTAACCCACATCTTCATGTAGTCTGGACTATCTTTCCTCGAAGGACCTCTTTACGGGTGTAAAAACTCATAAAGTTCTCAAAAGATTCATTCTCGATCTCCATGCTGAAAGAATTTACAATAAAAAAGAGATCTACGCATCAAACTACAGCCATAAATGAACTGAACCCCTAAAGCTCAGCTCTTAGTTTATCAAAAACGTCGAAATCCTTCTCATTGCAATCAAATTTTCTCAATAACTCATAAGAAAAATCGAATTTTGATTAAGCCGATGTTATAGGTATCACAAATACTACAAACTTGAGCAATATCGAAATTGCCAGCAAAAGTTTGAAATTGCATTGCTCATATTTGTTTTGTAAACTAAAAATCTGCTTATATTATTCATTAATTTTTTATATATTATTCATATACTTTAATAAAAACAATACTATTTCACCTTAAAAATGAATTTCATAAGTCAATATTATTTTTTTGAAAATGTATCAATTTTCGATTAAAACAACATGAGAATAAAATTTACGCAAAATTATTTTAAAAATGGTTTTAAAAATTTACAATAGATGAAGAATAAGATTGCAAGAAGTTTTGAAGTTTAATTTTAAGAAAAAAAATTCGGATATTATTCATGGATCTAAGTAATCTGATATTTGAGTATCGGCACTATGCATAAAACATATATTTATAGTTTTTTTGGATTTTTATGATTTTAAATATATTCAAATTTGGCAATCCAATAGATTTTGAAAAAATAGGTAAATAAAAATAGATTACATATGCAGCAGATTTAGAACATGAAACAAATCTTATAGTGACCCAAAAAAAAATTCATGATCCAAAAAAGAAAAAAATTGGCTAAATGGGAATCAAACCTTGGCATAATGAATCATTATGAATCATTACGTGGGATGTTTCCACTACACCGGCAGTTCGAAAAATACCCTTGGTGGTTCTATTTAATAGCTACTCCCAACGATAGGCGGTGTCCCCAGCTTTAGAGAGGTGGTAAAAGTAAGGAAAATCTGGGTAATATTTTTTCTATTCATTTTTGGGTTTTTGAATATTTTTTGGAATTCTAACTGAGTCCAAAATCATGTAGGTAGTTTACTCTGAAGCAGTATTTGTCGTTACCAAGCTCAACTCTCAGTATATTGATATCATTTTCAAAAATATCACAAAGCAAAGAGTCAATTGTCACGAATATTATTGCTTGCATCTATCATTACTAAAATTAATTACCAAACAGATTCAATTCACTTTCGAACGCTTTTCATATTAGAAATTCCATCTGACAACTAAAAGCTCGTAATATTTTTCAACTGCCAAACATGTGCGTCAAAAATTTTGAACGTTCTTACTCAGTTCAAATCTATGATTCTTTGATTTGTGAAAATATTTAACTTTCTTGACTGAATTCCAATAATCCAGAATACCTTGTATCAGTTATAAATTATTAGATAATTTACCATAAATATTCTTATAGTTGTAACTTTTATTAATCTCAATGTTATTTTCCATACTTTTTATCTAAAATTAAAGACACTATTCGATAATGTTGATCACAGAATTGAGATTTTACGATTGGGATAACTCAATTAAATTGAAATTTTTTGAAATCAAATTTATTTTTGGAGAATTTATAATATCATATATATTATTTCCCCTGGTGCGTTTCTAATTTGAATATTCAACTGTATATAGGATAACTCGATAGAGAACCGAAAAATAATGAATGTTTATGTGAAACACAAATTTTTATGAGGATGTTTTATTGTCGTCTGGAAAAAGTGACAAAATTATTATTGTCGTCTAAAAAGGTGACAAATTATTATTGTCGTCTGGAAAAGTGACAAAATTATCATTGTCGTCTAAAAAATAGATTTTTCAAGCATGTTTCGGTACCTAAATAAAGGAAGAACATCAATTCCATCTATGTATATAGTATGCAAACACGCATGATATATGGAGTAGCTCTTTATCTGGCTAAAAATCCTATTATTTGAAAATTCGCATTGTCGTCTAAAACCGCCAGACGACAATAATAATACCCCAATTTTTATTTTATAAATAGCAATTAAATCATCAATCTAAACTGCTTTTATACAAATTGAAAGTTTGATTGACTTTTCAAGGATTTCCTTCAATCGCTTAGATTTCTTCTACTTTTATATTAATTTTGGAGCACTTTAGGATAAAAAACTATCAAAGAGAAACTTCGTTTACGTACTTTTTCAATTTCTGGAGTTCGTAAAAATTTTTGAACTGGAAAATCCATTGAAAAAATTATTTCTGGGAATTTTATGGGGAATTCAAAATTAATTTACACAACGTTGCGAAATTTCAGATTTATTGATAAATCAAAACAATAAGGTTATTAACTTCGATGAATATTGTGAGAATTAATCACAAAATTCATCACTTCACTTCTATCAAATGACTGCTGCAGACGCTGAATTCACAGCAATTGCCGATGATTGGCTTGGCATCACTGGCTGGCGTATCGAAAACTTTAAGCTCGTTAAAGTTGCAGAGATGGGCGCCTTCCACACAGGAGATTCTTATTTGTATCTTCACGCTTACCTTGTTGGCACAAGCAAGCTCGTCCATCGTGATATTTACTTCTGGCAGGGCTCCACATCCACAACAGATGAGCGCGGTGCTGTTGCTATCAAGGCTGTTGAACTTGATGACAGATTTGGAGGCTCTCCAAAGCAACACAGAGAAGTCCAGAACCACGAGTCAGACCAGTTCATTGGACTCTTCGATCAGTTTGGCGGTGTTCGCTACCTCGATGGCGGTGTTGAATCAGGATTCCACAAAGTCACAACATCTGCAAAGGTTGAGATGTACAGAATCAAGGGAAGAAAGCGCCCAATTCTCCAGATCGTTCCAGCTCAGCGCTCCTCCCTCAACCATGGAGATGTTTTCATTATCCATGCTCCAGGAAAGTTCTTCCTCTGGATTGGCAACAAGGCAAACCTTATGGAGAAGAACAAAGGTGCTTCCGCTCTTAGCATCATGAAACAAACAGATCCAAAGGCTACAGAAGTCAGAATCGAAGATGAAGAGAACGCAGAGCTCGACGCCATCATCGGAAAGGATGGAGAGATCGGCAATGCTGACAATTCTGATGCCGCCTTCGAATCTGCCTTCGTCAAGGCTATTTACGACGCAAACGGCAAGGAACTCGCCAAAGATGCTGCCGTCAAGAAGGAAGTCCTCAAGTCGGATGCTCTCAGCTATGTAAGATACGGAGACAAGATCTTCGTCTACATCGGAAAGAATGCTGACAAGGGACTCAAGCGCACAGCTTTACAGAACGCTATCAAGCTTCTCGAGACACTCAAGATGCCAGATTGGGCACCAATCGAAGTCCTCTTCGAAGGAACAGAAGATGACGATTTTGGTCTTTGCTTCCAGTAAAAAAATATTCTAATCGGTTTTTAGGTTCATAACATTATTGATTTTTTGATATGTTTTTGTAATTATTTGAGGATTTTATTTGATTGTCTGAAATATGATCAAATTTTTGTTGTTAAAATTAATTATTGGCTTGAGGAACTTAAACAACTTTGGATAAAATGATGAGATGACTATGAATTGGCTAGTTTTGTCTCAGACATGATATTTCATATGAAATTTGGTCAAAGAAATGAAGTTAACTCATTCATTAGAATGTTTTTAATTGTTTGTTTGTTTATTTAGATTAAGAGAAAACGATAAAATAACTATAAAAAAATAATTTAATTCAATTTCCTTATATAAGACTTCCTCAAATTATAGTTATTTATTTCTTCTTTGGAGCAACCTTTCCCTTGATCTCTTCGACCTTCTTCTGGTCGATAGCAGCGCGAACCTTGAAGAAGGCACGGCGTGTTTCTTCGAGGATTGTGAACTGGAGGGCAGCAAATGGGACAACCTTGATAAGGTTGAGGCCAACACCACGGTAAAGGCCGGCAACGCCTTCCTTGGCGTAAACTGTAGAGAAGGCCTGCATCATGCCGCTGTAGATTGGCTTGCCCTTCTCATCCTTGAGCATCATGCGTTTCCTGATAACATCGAATGGATATGAGAATGTCTGTGAGAACATACCAGCAGCGGCACCGATAAGGCAGTTAGCCCATGGTGAGATTGGCTTGCCTGGGGCAATCTTTGTTGTGTAGAGTTGCTTGAGGCCACCATAAGCGTAGAACTGAGCGCCTTCGTATGGGATAACGCCCATAACTGTTGGGACGATACCAGCGAAGAGTGATGTGAATCCTTCTTCCTTGAGCATTGTGAATGCGCAGTTGAAGATACCTGTGTACTTGCCTGAGTAGACTGTGATACGTGTACGGATGACATCAAGTGGGTATGTGAGAACCTGGGAGATAACACCAGAGAGGGAGCCGAAGACTGTACGCTGGATGCCGACAAGTGGCTTGCCCTTGCCGATACGCTTCTCGAGTTCTTCGTAAGCGTAGAACTTGATAGCGGATTGTGGGCCGAGTCTGATGCAAGCAGCCCAGTTGCCACGCCAGAAGCCGGCGATGCCCTGCTCCTTCCAGAGTTGAGCAATTGTATCCTTAGCGGAACCACCGCGGGAGGAAACTTGCATGAGCATCTTAACGACATCAAGTGGGGATGTAAGTGTACGGGAAAGTGTACCAGCGATGAAGCCGACGGAAAGGCGCTCAACTGGTGAGAGGGATGGCTTTGGAGATGTAGCGATGAGGATCTGTTCTGCTGGCTGTGCCATTAGAAAAAGTGAACTCACACCTTCAAAATTTTCATGGTCTAAGTTGACGGTTTTTCTCAAACTAGATATTCTCGAATAAACCTGTCTTTGTTTCACCATTTAATTTGGACAAACAAAAGAAGATGTTATTTTTTTATCAAATTTTTTGTGCCTTGAATTTTTTTCTCCAAAAAAATTTACTGGGTTATCCATTATCTATGTTGCATTTTACAGCACATTTCTCTTTCCCGTATAAAGCGATCAGAGCCTCAAAATTGAATTATTTTTTGCAAAAATTCAAAATCGTAAGCTTTCTCATCAATAAAAACAATACAGCATCATTGCAATCCCTTTAATCAACCCCATGTATGATGTTCATACGATCAGAGACACAATAATGGGAGAAGTAGATAGATTTTTCTTGGAAAGAACGACACCCGTCAGTTTCATACAAATTTCACTTTTTTGAACCGATTTTCAGTTTATGTATTCATAAATTTTGTGGTTTCATGTACCTTGTACTAACATCAACAAGAAAAATTTAACAAAAAAGAAACCACCTTCATATTTCATTGACCAAATTTGGTTAATTCGGTTATAATTGATATTATTGCTAATCACTGCCTTTCTTGATGCGATTCGAATGATTTAGCTGATAATTTTTGTTAGTATCTATTCACTTTCACCTTATTAGATCAGTTCCAAGCATATATATATATAAACGAGCCATTTTACGTGGTATTAGGCTATAGTATTATTGTTAACACATCTTATGGAAATCCTCAGCAAAACTATGAATGATCCAAAAATAGATCGAATTATTTTATAATCACCAATCGAATTAACATGTCCAAAAAGATTACAAACGATTCCAATATGCGTTCCATATGTTTCTGTAGAAACGATGCCACGCATTAGAAATTTCGATATGAATGTTTTCAAATTGATCGGAGTTAATTAAGCAAGCTGACATTCATTAATAGTCAAGGTACTGATGATGCATGAGATAGTATAAAACACTCTTTCATGGAAAATGAGCGTAAATGTTACTTTTGATATTAAAAATCCGTTATTTATCACTTTGAATCGATTTTAATGGTTTTAATCACATTTAATGTGGACATCTTAAATTTCAAGACCTTTTCTATTTTACTCTCAAGTTTTGGCCTGAAATAAAGAATTTTTGATATGAAATATCTTATTAGTCTGTAGTTCTTAATTTAGCTTCGTCATTCAAATATTTAGACGAAGTGTGAGATACATGTCAATAATTTTTGGATTTAAAAGCTACAAAGAATTCAATATCATTTAAAATTTCTTATTCCTCTAATTCAATATACGAAAATAGAATATTTGGATTCATGTTTATTATACTATTGATTTTGATACATATTTTTCTACTAAAGTACTCACAAAATCTAGATTGAGAGGCGGTCAATGACTTTTGAGGGGAAATTAACGCATGGAATTAAAAAAAAGGTAGTGGGGCTTCCAGGCGCGTTGCGCCCTCTAGCCCCGAAGATGTTTAGTATAAATGAAGTTTTTATTCGGAGGGCTTCCAGGCGCGTTGCGCCCTCTAGCCCATAAGAAATTTTGCCCAAGACCCAAGAGGAGGACCGAACCCCAGCCGACCAGCCGGTGACAAAACCAAAACCGTTGTTATTTACATCATATTAATGGTGTCACTTTTTTAAATATCACTTTTTGTGTCACTTTTCACAAATTATATATGCTTTCATGTTTTGTCACTTTTCTATCACTTTTCGGGTAAAAACATTTTTATTATTATATATAAATGAATTTTACAAAACCGCCGTTACCGTTCTTTGGAAATAAGAGTAGATGCAAAGATATTATATTGAGAGAACTTAAGAAACTACCGAATGGTCTAACATTTGTAGATTTGTTCGGTGGAAGTTTCTATATATCCCATTTATGTCATACAATATTCCCAGACTCAAAGATTATATGCAATGACTTCGACAACTATATGGACCGTCTCAAACATATTCCAGACACAAACAATATATTGAAAGAGTTAAAAGAAAAGATACCTATAGGTAAGATGGAACGTATACCATTAGATAAGAAAAATATTGTGAGAGAGGTTTTGAAAAAAGCAGAATATATAGACTGGGATAGTATATCTGCTAGACTATTATATAGTGGTGCTATAAGAGTTCATGACATTGAAACACTTATGTCAAAAGTTTTATATCTTAACTATACAAATGTTTTCAAAGAGGACATAGAAAAATATATTGAGGGTATAGAGTTTGTGAGATGTCATTGGACAGAGTTGTATGAAAAATATAAAGACAAGGAAAATGTTTTCTTTATAGTGGACCCGCCGTTCTATAACACATGGGATTTTCAATACCAAGTAGACTGGACTTTGAGAGACTCTTTAGAAACTTTAGACGTTATACATAACCATCCATGCTTTTACTTTACATCCGATAAAAGTGGTTTGGAAACCGTTATGAGATGGTTAGAGGACATACATGACTATGAGTTTATATATGACAAGATAGAATATGAGAGAGGTCCTATAAACTGGAGAAAGTGTCATAACAAAGAAATTTTATTAGTAAGTAAATGTGGTTTGAAATAGGACTACTTGTTTTAGGTTTTTTCCATTGTGTCATTTATTTATTTGACGTGGCAGAAAAGTACAGAGAATATGAAGATGAACCAATGCCTGCAAATGTTCAGCATATGTACTCGTAAGAGATATTTTTATCTAATATTAAATGGACGCACAGAACTTAGCGAATGCACAGCAACCTGGACAACCAAACCCAGAGAATATTCCAAATGAAGTTAGAATACAAACTGCAATGGCAAACTATGGTCAAGTGCCAACAGATGTACAAATGCAAACTGCCATGTCAAATGACGCTGTAATGCATGAAAAATAGCGTGACTTCATTTTTGACAGTTTACAAATGTAAAGTGTTGCATCCTTAAAAACTTGGAAATATATACATTCATGAATTATCTTGTATATTAATTGAAAATCCATAAACCCCTAACAATATTTTTTCTTAAAAAAAACTATAAAAATATAAATAAAATTAATCGTTAAATAAAAATATTTGATATTAGAATTTTATTGGAAAAATAAAAAACTTAATATTTTAAAGAAATACTTAAATACTTGAATGTTTTAACTTTTACATTATCATATAGACTCTCAAATTATTGATTGGAAACGGTTTGAGGGTTATCAATTTAAAAAAAATTGTGAGTTTTTTAGATTTTTGGCAATGAGTTTTAAAAATTTGTGAGTGAGAATGTGTGTTGATGCTTGGCACTTTGAAGGGAAGATGTTCTGGGTTCACAATTATTAATGGGATAAATAAAATGATTATAAATATAATATATTAGAAAATAACTTGCAAAATCTCTCCATTTTTATAAATTTAATAATAGAAGTTGATCTATATAGAAAGAGCGTTTTATCTATTAAGTTTTTGGCTTTTGCCTTCAAATCATTAATATAATTTTTTCAAAAAAATTGTTTTATTTAAAATAAACAAATTTTATCAAATAACTAGTATTTTTAAATTATCTTTTGAAAAATTGAAAAATTTACAAATTAAAAAATGGAAGACATCTTGGTTCATCTCGAAAACCCAGAAGATCTTAAAACTTTTCAACTCCCAACCGTTCCCGCCGATCAGGTTCTCAACGTAATTGAAGAAAAATATCAAGAATACATTAATAATCCAAATGTAACTCTCGAAGATACGGCAAAAACACTTTCAATAGGAAAAGAACGTTTGAAAAAAATTTTCGTACTACTCGGCTATCCAATAAAAGAAAGAGGAAGACCAAAGAAAAAAATTTTTGAGGAAGATGTATACAAAATTTTGGAAATTAAAGCACAATATGACATTGGATACAAAAGGATCAAAGAATCATATTTCGAAAAAGTCGAAAGATTTACATTCAACGATGCTTTCAAAATTTTCAATCAACAACATTTGTTTACATTTCACAGGCATCAGAAAATCGACGAACATCCACATGAATACGTTGCTCAATATGTTAATCAATTGTGGCATACTGATTTGAAATTTCTGAAGGACGATAACGGTAACCTTCAATATTTAATTTCATTTCTTGATGACAGAAGCAGATACATTATTTGCTGGGATGTTTTCGATACAAAAGAAATGAAAAATACTGCCAGAGTATTTCGTCACGCAATTGATTTAGTCAAATTAGTTCCACATGGAATTCTCACAGATAATGGAACAGAATTCATTGGAAAAGATTTTGAAGCGGTTTGCCAAGAATTCAATATAAAACATTTCAAAACTCATCCGTACTCTCCAGAGGAAAATGGAAAAATTGAAAGGAGTTGGGAGACTCTTTTCAAGACAAACCCTGGAGTGAACGTCTTTGAGTTCATCCCCAATGTTGTTTCCCAGTATAATAGGGTATGGAAACACTCCGCATTATTCAAACTCTTTGGGGAGAAATTGACTCCATTTGAGGCCTGGGAAAGAGGCCCCAAATGGACAAAAGATCTCTGCGCTGAACCAGGCTTCGAAAAAAATCTTAGAGATTAACAAATAATTTCAAAAACAAGAAAATTCAAAAAATCACAAAAAGGAAGTTAAGGAATAAACACTTACATTTATTACATTTGGATTTTTTAAAAAATTCAGTATTATTTTTAGAAATAAGATAATATAGTTCTAAATAAAACAAAGAATGTTAAGAATGAAGAAGGAATTAGCGGATGCAGCCGAAGCACACTCACAAATTACTCTCAATATCCACTCAAATCATACAAAGTTTTGTCGAATAGTTTGATATAAAGACAAAAAATTTACAATTTTTAATTAAATCCGAACAATCTTACATATGCAGCTGAAGCACACTCACAAATTACTCTCAATATCCACTCAAATCATACAAAGTTTTGTCGAATAGTTTGATATAAAGACAAAAAATTTACAATTTTTAATTAAATCCGAACAATCTTACATATGCAGCTGAAGCACACT